TTATTAGAAATTTTTGTCGAAACCGAGATTTAACATTCCAGATAACAATTACAGTTCCTGGTGTCAATTTCAGGAACTCGAAAATAATTTCCAGCATTTTTTCTTTTCCGATTTACTTTTTGTTTTTAATATCTATGACCCTCCGTTTACTCCCTACCTCGTTGCGCTTTCTGAAACATCCGCTACAATAATAGTTTGGTGTAAATTGTCACATTTCTTCCTATTCAAAATGTAAAGTTAATATTTTTAGAAAATGCATGCATTATATATTTGTATAATACTTTTTGATAATTTGGGGAATACTCTAAATAAATTTACGAACTCCTTTTAAGAAATATCATTGGACGTAAAGGAATTGTTTTACTCAAAACATATTACACAAAAATTTCGTTGATGACAACACAACAAATTTTACCAGAAAATCTAACCAAATTCGTTCTTTTAAATATTTTATAGACGTTATAAAGCTAAACCGAGTTTAGTAAACAAAATATTTTTTTAAAAAACATCACTGGTAACAGCCCTGGCGTTGATTATTTTATTGTGCGATTGTAAATTACGAGGGTACGGAATGGTAATATATCACGACAGCTTAATCGGATCACAAATAACTAGACGGTTATCTATTAAATTATTTGTTATCCGTGGTGTAAAAATATTGCAAAATCAAACATAAACTTTAGTTTTCGAGTGTCTACACACTAGGCGTGATCTTTACAAGGTAATTTTTATCTCGATCCTTTACATTATAGCAGTGCAGACTAGTGCCGTAAATCCTTGATAGTTGTTTTGCACAGGTATGTAACCAATTAAATGAACGCGCCAGAGTTCATGGAATATCGAAAACCATACCATACCGCAAAGTGAATGGTGTCTGAGAATTTTCTACTATTGTATGGAAAAATCGAAATGCGCCGTTGCGCACCATGATATAAGTCATCAGATGGTAGGACACTAGTTGCCTGAAAAACTACCAAAAATATTAATACCGAAATTTTAAAAATTTTAACCTTGTGTATTTTAACATCGACTTCAAAAATATGAATTAGGTTTTCATTTTTGTTGCTCCTACAGTTAATAAATCAGCTTACTGAACAAAATATTTTTATCGCTTTTTGATATATACTTAAGAGCGCTCGTGTTATTCCCCTGAAATCACCTTGGTAACAAAATTCCAAACTAATTAAGTAAGCCCACATTGCATAAACACGTAGAATAAAATACAATACGTTTTTATCAAAATAATTGCATATCTGCAAATACATTTTTGTTGTAACAGATCAGGAACGCCGATACTGTGGAAGCACTTAAACATGTAAAGTCAACTGATGGCTTGTCGCTAAAAATGATTAAACTATGCTGTGCTGTTATTGTCGCGCTCCGAACACACATTTTTAATTAATCTATAGTTTTACCACAGAGAGCTAACATATGCACAATATCTGAGTTGTAACCAATCAGTTTACGGTCAGTAGTCACCAAGTTGTTTCCCGAGTATCAATCGTGGTTCCGTAAGCGACACGCTACGACCTTCCGTCCTTTCTTAATGGCGTTATCTTGATAACTTGATTACAGCAAAGCATTCGACGCTTTAAACCATCGGCTCGAATCTGCAAACTTCATTATTACGGTTTTTATAATCAAACGACTACCTTCTTTCGATAGTTTTTACATTTAAAACTAAATTTCTAAAATGGTTCAAAGAGAAATAATTTCTCCAAGAAACTTATATAAGAGTGAAGATATTTTGAGTATATCTTTAAAAAGACATTTGAGTGAATCTCTCGTTCTCTCACATTGCAATTACGCATAATTTTTAAATGGTAGTTGGCAGTCTAAATAAAAATTGCAAAGAATTCAGAATGCTTATTTTCGCTTTATTTTTAACCTTAAACCAAGGAACCATGTGAGTCACAAGATAAAGGATTTAAAATGACTAAATACGCATTGATCTAAACATTGCATTGCACGTTGCATTATTATTACTGGAATATTTGTAACTCATTTAATTTATATTCATCAAGTTTCGTCTTGTAGCTTGGTTAAGCAAACTGCTACGCTGACCTTCGCCAAGTTAAAAATAAATGCGCTTCTAGTCTATTCTATATTGAATATTTTCATTATTTCTTAGAGCATGAAACATGTGTAAAAATTATGCATCACACGATGCTTTTATTAACATTCTTAGGATCACAAAACCAAAATTAAGTTTATAGTAGGCCACTATCGCTCTAAACAAACATCCGAAAAATTTCAAAACAAAATCTGATTTTTTTTATAGTAGGGCAAGATGGCTCTCATTAAACATTTCAAAAATTCAAAAACCATGCAATAAGGGAACTGAAAATAATGTACCGTTAGGGACTTTTCCCAAAATGCCAAGACAACGAAAACACATTAAAAATGCTCATTATTGGACAATACAAAATCCCGTGTATACGAGATACTAACTTACAGCTGGCGGAGGTCAACAATAATTGGTTTCAACAAAATGAGGGCCCCGCTCAGATCTAACTCCTCTTAACTTTTATCTAGAAAGAATTACGTCAGCTGGTTTTAAAAGCATTTCGAATCATCGCATCAGATGTACTTAACAATGTGTTAACCTTCACAGTTAAACTATGTTAAGTATACTTATAAAATAATGACCATTTGTTCGAACAAATGAGGCTGGTATACGTTCAATGGACTGTCAAAACGTTTGGTTTACAAATGTCTTTTGGCCTACCATAAACTTAATTGCGGTCCACAACAGTATAATAAATGCATCATGTGATACATACGAGGTTAGCGCCAAAATTTCCCGGCCTAACATAGATGCAGCTCCAGTATCACGATAAAACTTTGTCTTCTTTTAAATATGTATCTTAGTAGTCTGCGAAAAAAAAATTGAAGTCTTGCGTCAAATAGTTTTTTATTGAGTATAGAGCAGTCATAAAGTTTTTGATAAAAGAAGGGTTAGCACCTAAAATTATAAAAGAAAGGCTGGATGGTGGATGGTGTGTACGGCTAAAGTTCTCCCTCGTATTTTGTAGTGAAAGAATGGGCAAAACGTTTTCAAATGGGGCAGGAGTCCCTTGAAGATGATTCAAGAACTGGTCGACCAGTGGAAGTCATAACGGAAGATATTTTTGCGATTGCGGAGGAGGTGGTATTGAGTGATCGACGTTTAAAGCTCAAGAAAATCTCAGAAATTACTAAGCTTGCTGATACAAGTGTTCGTCGAATCCTGCATGATCATTTAGGTATGCATAAGGTTAGTGCAAGATGGGTTCATAAAAACCTTTCGGCTATTCAAAAACAACACCGTCGTATCGAGTGTGCGCGGTCTTTTTTGGGACTCCTTGAGTCGGAACCGAAGCCTGTGATAGAAACTATTGTGACGGGAGATGAAACTATGGTTCTCTATTATGACCCTCTATAGAAAAACGAATCAATGGAAAACTGACCAGAGGCGTGCGTCGTTTGTACCTGTCCATACTGCTGGTGTTGCGCAAGCTGCCATTTTAGAGTGTGGGTTCCAACAGATAGTCCAGATTATTATTTATTATTATTATTTGTTTGGATATTTGAAAAAGGCCTTACGTGGACGGCAGTTTAACGGCAAAGTTGAGTTAAAAGAGGCTGTTTTAGCTCATTTGCAGACATACCAAAAGAATATTTTTTAAAGGGATTGAGTTGTTAATAAAGAGATGTAATAAGTGCATTGAAGTAAAGGGGGATTATATTGAAAAATAATAAAAAATTGTTACTCTACTTTGTTTCTTTCATATTCAGGCCGGAAAATTTTGACGCTGCCCTGGTACATACACATACAAATATTCATTATGACGACTTTAAGAAAATCTATGGTGTATCCCGAAAACAAAAAAAAAATGCTTTTCCCGTCATGTCATCATATTACACTTAAAAAAAATGTTCTAATATTTTACCAACACCAAGATCATCTTTGGCGTATTTCGATCTTTACAGACAAAAGTAGAAAATCCAGTTTTTTATATTTTCTCGAATTTCTCAGAAACGATCCAGGCTCGAATTAACTTGCGTGCAGACCCTGTATGGTTTCCGATATTCGTATGATATCCCGGCCTTTTATTGGACACAGTGTATTATAAGTGTATAGTACACAGGGTGTCTCCAATAAGGCCCAATTAACTCGGAAGCTACGAACGAAAAAAAAAAAAGCTTAATAAATACGAGTTTGCATTTTTTAATTCTGCAGGAAATTCTAGATATATTCAAGTCGACAAATCTTGAATTTTATACCAAAAATCACTTTTGCAGGCAATAAAATAATTAACAATTTTTTCCAATAAGGATGCCTTAATTACTTAATTATGGATGGACTCCTTGTAACAGCCTATATACAGGGTGAGCAAAAATGAAGTACAAAAATTGAAACCTAAAAAGTCAATTTTTTATAATATTTTATAATTTTGTCGCACTTAACATTAAAAATTAAGGCGACTTGGTGGAAATTTATAGTTTTCGGAATAATTCACCATTGAGTAATAATGCATTCATATGACGGTTACACAGTCATTGCAGTATTAGTTGGCCATGATACTGAAGATCTAAAAAATAGAGTTAGGGACAAGTTCAATTTTTAAATCAAAGCAGTGCTGTAGAGAACGCAGATAACTTATATTGTATCGCTGAAGATGTGGGACATGGGGCAATATACATGAAATATATTTAAAATTTAGGGGAAGACAAAAAAGAAATAATATACTATTTAAAATAAGTAGACTGGTAATTACCACATATGGACTGAACACCCTGTATATTTGAGTAATTAAAAATTAAGATATCTAAATGAATTTTTGCAATTTTTCTATTTTTTTTCTATCGTCCGTCGTTTCTGGGATAATAGGGAAGAGACCCCTATTTGGGACACCCTGTAGAGTGTACACTGGGTCCTAAATTGCTTATAACTATAGCGTTTCTCGGTAACCGGCAGAGATAGATTTGGGGTTTTTGCGACTATGTGTCAATTTTTAGTGTAACTTTTAATGTTGCAATGCAAACAAAAATATGTGTGTCGTTCCGCTGATACGGAGGGAAATAAAAATTGAGCGCTTTTAGGAGTGGTGCCATATTTCGAACACAGTGTAAAAAAGGTAAAAAATACTATAGATAGATATTTTGAAATAAAATCCATTGTTGTAGTTAACAAATGTTTTATACAAACCGCTTTGAGATATACAGTATTTTTTTATCCAAAAAAATTCGCTTTTTTGTCTCTTTAAAATGGTGTTGACTATACCCTTCTGACCTAAACTAACCCTTAAAGATGCATTATTGTAAGAACAAATTAAATTAGTAATGCAGTTATAGGAAGTACCCACAAGCAAAATTTTCTTAGTTCTGCCCGTAAAACCAAAAAATTATATATATAATTATATATTAAAAATATTTGGTAATTTTGTCCACGAGTATATTATTGTTACATGGAAAACAACAATATGTTTGGCTTCAAGCCTTCAACTTACGAGCTAAACGATAATAAAATATGACGACGCGTCATGTTCACTCCAACGTTGATTTGTTTTTCGGTAAAGCACTTTCAGGAATTTTACAAACAATTTTCAGGTCTATTAGGTGTACTCGGCCGGGCATCGCGGGCTACATTTGTGATTTGTCGACGACGAAATTTTATTAGTTTGGCAGAGAGAAGTACATTTATTTCTATGGCATAGCGGGTTAAGATGCATCAGGAATTCGCAATGAGTACATGTTCGTAAACCTCAGTTCTGTCATCAAGGCGGCTCGTTTATCATCAAAGTGAGTTCACGGATGATGGCTAAACCGTTTTTGGGAAGACGCAGGGTAAGTCGTATTTTTTTATGTAGTAGAGCTCTTTAAGACATCAGCGACTGATTTGATCGCAGCAACAGACAAGCCCATTCATCAGATTAGTTCGACCGAATCTAAAAAAAGTTTAGTGATGAATGAACGTCTAAATTTAATAGCGAAAATGACCTTCTCACGTTTATTTTTTTTGTTGTTGGCAACAATTTTTGGTCTTGGTACGTTGCGTCTAAAAATTTTAGAAGTAAATACAGGATGGCGCAATAACGTGACAAACTAGAAGATATCCTTTATTTAGCACAATTTTGAAAAATTCTTTTAGCAAGTGTTGCCTAAAATCTAAATACATATATTTTAAAGATAAATTCAATTGTTCAGGGTGTTTCGCAAACAGTGTGGCAATACTAATCTATGCCTTTTTTAAATAGAACCCCCTACATATTTTTGCATATGCTTTTTGAATGCGACGTCACCAACTTATTAGGAAAAAAATGAAAATATTATAAAAAATATTTTCTCCTGTTATCTAATATATCTATCTAGCCGCACTCTTTATAATATCAAAAGTAATAATAATTTTCATTTGCAAATTTGAAAAAAAAATTCAAATGAGAACCAGTTCAGAACTGTTCAAAACTTTGGCACAAAAAAACAATTAGATACACAAAATACAAAATTTTACTCGTGAGTAGCAGCAACAGCAAACATAATTTGTTGAGTCAGGACGGGTTTGGTTTTACGAGTAAATATTCTACGACAAAAGCACTATTAAAGGCCTTGCCGGGTGCGATCGAAGACATAAGGACCTATAAGAACACTCAACGATTTTTGTTAATAATGAATTTTCAAATGCTAGAGAACTGAAATACGGAGTACCGCAAGGCTCCGCTATTGTTTGTCATATACGTAAATTGCTTGAGTCATTTCATTTCTGTCAAAGGTTCCCAGTCTGCAGATGACACATTTATTACCTCTACCGGCAGCATTGCACCTTTGATATTTCAAATCCTTTAGATCTTGCTGAAAAATAGTTTAGTGCCAATAATATTCTTTTAAATCCGAACTTTGAAATGGAAACTATTAAATGGAAATTAGCGGTAATAAATAGTAAACAAAATTGTTGTGGTCACAGCATACGGATAAAATCTCTAAAGCTTTATCGAGTCTGATAGTTTTAATAAGACTTCCATCTTATGTAAACTTTAAAAGCTCTAAAATGTGTTATTTTGCAGTACGACACTCAAAAACTGTTTATGCCCTTCCATTGTAGAGACACAGTACTGGAGCACAGATCATTTTTAAATTTCAAAAGGCCGTAGTGTGGTGCGCATTATAGTGCTCATTTTGTGTTTTGTGTGCCCGTTTTGTTTATTTTGCAATAATTCAATTCAATTCAAATAGGAATCACTATTATAATTTTAGGAGCAAATTACACTCTGCCACTGCTAAAATTGCTTCTAATAAGAAACTTAAAAGAGTGATGAAAGAATACCTGCTCGCTCATTGTTTTACTTCAGTTCAGCAATACCTCGAGGGTAATTTTGTTACCGATAAAAAAAATGACTGGACCGAATTCTATTTACAAAATTTCTGGATTTCTTCTGCGTTGGTTATTGATAATTAGAACTTGCTAACGCTTGGCTTCTTCAGAGCTCAAGTGAAACTGCTTTGTATTTTACTCTGTACCTGTACCTATACCGTTTGAGGGAGGGGAAGTTAAAGGGTAGATATAATCATTGTCTAGAATGACTGATTTCCATATTGGTGGAAGGTAAAGCCTGGGTCGCGGTTAAGCTTGTTTGGTTGTTTAGAGATTTATATGTATTTTCGGACTTCCCTTTGGTAGAAGAATTGAGTTAATGTTTTTGGTCCCAATTCTCCAATATATTCTGTACGGCGTATGCATTGATTGATTGAAGATGTTGAGACATTTTTGGAAAAGTGGAAAATCTGGATTTAACATTATATTTGTTAAGAACTTTTGCTATGTGGTTAGTAATAATGGCCTGTGGAACTATTTTTTTAAATAAAAAAAAAACACAATATATACTACATACTTTTCCAATAATACTTTTAGCCGAGAAATTTCCCTTTTTATTGCAGTGATTAGCTAAATAGTTTAATGTGCTGATTTTTTTTATTTTTAAAGATAATTCATTTAATCTGTTCATAAGCACATTGTTTGCTGTGACCATTAAAGACCTTCTACAATACAAATCAATAACCTACCACGTTTTTATATAGCCCTAGTTTTAAAACCGATTTTTTTTAATGAAGATCTGACACTTAGAGGTCAATCAGGACCAAAAATTTCATCAGAAACTGGCCTGGGAGTCTGTTAATCACAAACAAATTTCAAAGCGCCTTGAAATAGCAACAAATTGTATTTATGACAATTTTTTGGCATAGGAATACGTGGTACAGTTTTCTTATGAAAATCTAAGAGTAATAAACGATAGTTCACGCATACGATAGTTAACGAATACCCCTAAGGTTTCTAACAGCACTTGCGTCTGTGATCTTGTAGGCTTACAGCTTACATCTTTCGCCGCTGTTTACTTACTTACAGATAAAACTCAATGTACCAGTAACATGGAATGTTTATGTTAATGGGTAAAATACTAATAGTATCAATACAATAAGCATTATTTGTTTTGGTTTTCAGAGCTCCTCGATCAAGAAAGATTTTTCGGAAAAAGAATTGAAAGGTATGTATTTAATGCTCTCGCTTGATGGTGTTAAATTAGGTGACCATGTTGTGTGTTATTTTCTGTAATGAATTACTGTTTATAGCTTTATTATTATGTTTTTCCCTTACGCAAATTAATTTACATTCTGAATTTATATATTTGAAATGTTTAAAAAATACCCAAAAAACTATTAATAAAGCATTACCGCATGTGCTTGCCGTTTCGGGATTTTATAATGCACTATTAATTTTGGTTCAACGAACAGCTGTTAACGCTTTTTAACTCATATCCGTCCGCAATTAAAAATAACCCATAAGTTTATAAATAAATCGGCAAGGTGTTATTTTTAAAATATATAGAATATCGCGTACCAAAAATTTTAGACTTATGAGATCGTAGTCCACACAATTGTGCAACTATCAAATCAAATTACTCTTTCACATAACTCAAAATTTTTAGCGTCACATCGCTGGTTGAAATGAATCGGATTTCGGGGTAAAAAAAACTTTAATAATGAAAAAATAGTTCTTTATTTTGCAGTTATATCGTAAAACACAGTAACATCCTTACATTCATGCATTCTTACATTCTTAGTGTGTCATTTTTATAAAACTTCTGGATTCCTACTGCGTCGGTTTTTGCTGAGTCGAACTAGCTAACGTTTCGCCAATCGTCCAGTTGGCTTCTTCAGAGCTTGACTGAAACTGGCTCGCATTTTACTCTGTACCTGCTTTTATATTGTTTGAGAGGGACGGAGCTAAATGAGGGGCATAAACACTGCCCGGTTTCGTGATTGTGTTCGGCAACTGCTGATGAGTTTATTTGTCTTAGTCTTAATGCTCTTTCATGTTCTTTGTGCCTAGTTGATTTTTCGTCCGGTCTCCCCAATATATTCGTTGCCGCATATGCATGGAATGGTGTAAACCCCTGGCATCTCAAATGGAATTTTGTCTTTGACGTATCGAAGATCTTCAGAGATTTTTGGACAAGTGGTAAATCTGGTTTTGACGTTATATTTCTTTAGAACTTTTGATATGTGGTCAGTGATGTTTTGAATATAATGACAGCAGTGACAAGTGTTGAATTGCTTTCGGTTTTATTGCTGTTGGAAGGTTGTGGTGAAGTGTATCTTTAATGTGGAAATTATTAGAGAGAAGAGCAGAGGTAAGTTCTTTTAATTCTGGGTTCAATCAATCGGGCTGAGATAGTTTTACGGCTCTGTAAACAAGAGAGTTGATAACCGATGATTTTTGGGCCGGATGGTGATGTGACAATACATTAAGGTATCGGTCTGTGTGCGTAGGTTTTCAGTAAACACAATGACCCAATGTTACGTCTGATTTTCGATTGATAAGAATATCTAAGAATCTAAGAATATCTATTTCAATGGTAAAAAGTATGTTAGGGTGAATAGAGTTTAAATGTCTAAGAAAATCTACTAGGGATTCCTCACCATGAGGCCAAATAAGAAAAGTATCATCGACGTAGCGTTTCCATAATTTTTCAAAAAGGTTTGGTTCCAGATTGTCGGATTTTAATATATCTGAAATGATGGTGAGAGTTTCAGGAATAGAAACTCTACTAAAGAGGGATTCTTTTATATTCTTTTAGGTTTACAGCCTTCCATGCATGCACGGCAAAGAATACATTGGAGAGACGGGACGAAAAATATCAACTAGGCTCAAAGAACATAAAAAAGCATTAAGACTAGACGAATAAACTCATCAGCTGTTGCCGAACACAATTACAAAACCGGACATAAAATTGTATTCAATAAAACTAAAATTCTTACATGTGATCAATTCTTCTACCAACGAAAAATCCGAGAGTCTATAGAAATTTAAGAGCATGTTAGATTGCAATCTTAACCGCGACTCAGGTCTCTTCCTGTGAGCAATATGGGAATCAGAGATTGTGTTTAGCTCCGCCCCCCTCAAACAATATGAAAAGAGTAAAGTGCGAGCCAGTTTCAGTCAAGCTCTGAAGAAGCCAGGATGAATGGCGAAACGCCAGCAAGTTCGACTCAGCAAAAACCGGCGCAGGAGGAATCCAGAATTTTTATAAAAAGTATAACAGAGCCTGTGGATGCTTCTTTGAAAAATTCTTAGTGTGTCGTTTAATGCAAAAAAATATTGAAGAACATATAATAAACAATTTTTACTCACCTTATATGCGATTAATCAGTTGTCAAATTCTTAAATTATAACAATAAAAATAATAATAATTCAAAATTTTGTACTGCATAACTGGAAAGTCTGAGATCTGCAAATCGAACGATCTTCCAAATGTAATTCCTTTTATGCTTTAAATTCCTTGCAATTCCTCAGGAAATTTTAGGAATTCATCTGTAATTAGTTGGAATTCCTCTGGATTTCCTTCACAATGTTTAAAATAATTCCTTTGTAGAGTCCCTTAACTTCTTTGACATCATCAACAACATATTTCAAGAAATGTCAAAATCAGTGCTAAGCAGCCATCACTTTGAAGTTTGGAAAACTAATGAAAATAAGCATATGGAAAGCTACAGTCAATCGGTGTTGAAATAATTCTTCAACCGTTCATAAATAATTTCGCAATATTAATTTTGAAATTATTCTGCTTCCTGACCAAAAATAGCAACTAAACCAACACGTTGCAAATAATACTTCAAAAGTTTCAAAATATTCAGGATTTAGAAACTATAGAAGCTAAGTATAGGAGCCCGATGGAATCTATCATGAACTTTCCTCCACCGAATCCAAAAATGAAATCGGCTAAATCAAGAAAAAACACTTTTGTCTCCACACCAAGTCGCAAATTTCGGACAATTTTGTACATTAAGCATAACGCGCCCTTTATGATATGCGAAAACCTTAAACATAAATAGCTAAATTCGTTCATCAATTTTTCGAAAGTAACTACAGTGAATGCTTTTAGTAGTATCTTGAAATATTATTCTTAGACAGTGTTGCCTGTTACCTTCCACTTCCACTAGGCTTAGATGCCTCTTAAGCCGGCCAATTTAGCAATTGGACTTCTAAGAACACCTTCGTCTGTCGTTGTCCTTTCATATCTCTCCACCATTGCCAGGATTCTCTTTTTATCCATTTTTTGATGAGTGAGTGGGCCACCCACAAAAGAACTCCGGTGCAATCATGCGCCTTGACGAACCTTTGCGAGCTACGTCGTTCCCTCGTACCCATGATATCACTTTATTCGGATTTTCTATCTCGCCTAATGCTTTGAGACAGTCCAAAACTAACTTCGATGTTATGTTGCTGCATGGCATAGATTTTATAGTTTGAAATACTGTTGCTAGCTTTGCCATTTAAATTTAAATTATTATTTTCTTCCTAAGTTCATATATTGCAGCTTCAACTATTACTATTATTAGTTTGCCATTTTTCTAGTCTTCTCTGGTTGGGATTTGAAATCTGTAAGTTTAACAAATCAGTACGTATAGGCCTAGAACTTCGTCTGCCTTTATCTCTCTGTAAACGTTATCATGGGTGTTGCTATGTCCACCAATTGTTTGGTCTTGAAGTAATCTATATGCGACTGATCTTGCTTCCCTTTGCAAGTGAAATGTTGAATGTGCCGGTCTTTTATATATCTATTAGCTATATATCAACCGTATTTTACTATTTACCTACCGTCAACCCCCCTTTGATAACTGCTAATTACAATATTTTCTCTGTTCTCAGATTTACGAACAGCATTTGAATTGTTAGACAGAAATCAGGATGGAAACGTGACAACCAGCGAATTTAAAATAATGATGAATAATTTAGGCATTGAAATGAAAGACGATAAAGCGGAACAAATTATAAGAAATGCCAGCCATTCAGGTATTGTATTTGTACGTGACATAGAACGGTGTAGTGCCAAGCAATCAAATAAATCGCAATAATTCTACCAGGGGACTCAATTATTACTTTGCAGGTTTACCGCAATTCTTTTAGTTATTTTTTTTTTAATTGTAATTATAAAAGTACCATTTTTTTATCGCGCATTAAATTGTTTTTAAGGTATGTTATGTTGATTACTATTTAATTTATTTGTTTGATAATCGAAAAATGCTGACAACTAAATACTCTAACCAGAGGTTAACAAACGAAAAGAAAAATTAATAAGGCATAACGTCGCCCTTAGCTCGAATAACAGCTAGGCTTTCACAGAATTCAGAGGTGCAACTATCCCATATTTTTTGCAATTTAGAGCCTAGTTGTTGTAAAGAACGCTAAGAATCATTTCTAAGACGATGCTTTATTTTGTGAAAAAGTACCTCTATTGCTAGAGGGATGTGACAAAAGTTTAATGGTAGGTTCCTAGATCTATTTTTGCTAGATTTGCCTTTAAAAAAGTGTAAATTTTCCAACCCCGGACGACATACCAACCCCATACCATGAAGCTCTGTAGAAACTTTACAATCCTTTTGAGACAATCCTTATGAAATATTTCTGTCTTGTTTACAGTCGGTACATTACGGTCTGAGCTTTTATCGCGAACAATGACAGTTTCTTAATTATATTAAACACTGTTATAGTCACTGGAAAGTTCCGACAATATTTACCCTTCATGGTACTGGTGAATAAAGACTACTCTATTTTACTCGTAATAAAACTGATGCCTGTTAATTATTAATAATCACAAATGACGGGGAAAAATTCTAGTAAACAGCACTTACATTTTATTTCGAAACTCTAGGAAAAGCAAAAAATGTTCTAATATTTTGTCGTTAGCATTTTTCAATTATCATAAATTATATAATTAAACCTTATAAATAATTCCATTGCAAACCAACGCACTAGTCATTGAATACTTCCTTTCTGTAACATTCTTGATTTATTTGTTCATTCATGAAGAAATTCGTGGAATTGCAAGAAATGATGTCCAATCTGTTCCATTTATTGTGTTTGCGAAACTAAAGTTCTCGTGTTTTTTTATGATCAGTAAAATACGCCTCCTTTCAATTGCTATCAAGAGCGTTCACCAAAGGCTTCTTTAGATCGAAAGGTTTCTCCGGTAGACCACCCTTTGGTGCAGTCGTTTTGCTGCCCAAGTATAAATTTAACTATTTTTAAGTCTATACTACCATCAATCACATTACCCAACTGCGTTTCTCGAGTATCTAATTTTCTAATATCAAAGCTATAATTTATTGGAAAACTCACCAACCGAGTCTTAAATCAAATCGAAACCTGCTGGGCGTTAGTATAGTGAAAATCTTTTCAGGAAGAGAGATAATTGATGAAAACGACTTTTTGAAATTTGTTAAGGAAATCCAAGACTTGTGCTTAAAACCAAATGCCGAAGAGGATGATACCAAAAACGACCTCTCCGCAGCCTTTAAAGTTTTCGATCTTGATAGCGACGGTTACATTACCAAAGATGAATTGCGAATAGCGATGGAAATGATAGGAGAGGAGGTCTCCGAAGAACAACTCACTCACGTTATGGATCTAGCTGACACTGATAAAGATGGAAAAATTAATTTTGATGGTAAGGCACACACGTGTGGGGCAAGTCTTATTTCCTAGTACTTTTTCCTTTTTATACTTTTAATCTTATGGTGATTGTGACAATTATTTGATATGCCGATACAGTTTTCTTTCAGAAAGAGCTGTCTACTTTTCTTTCAGAGTTCGTCCAGCTCCTATCCTGAGACCATTTCATTTGGACTAGAACTAATTTTCGGTACCAAAATGTAAGTTTTAAGATAAGTTTATTTCAAAAAGGCTGAGACAAAAATATTTTCGTTATATGAAATATGTCAAATGGTAGATTGCACATGTAAAACTGTACTGTATTGTACTGTTTGTCCATTTCTATGTTATATCTCAGTTATTATTAGAGATAGAGCGATGCGATTTTCGCGTTATGGTGCTCGATTTTCGTGAAAGATGCTGAAAATGTATCCAGATTGCATTGTTTTTGAGATATAGGGTAGAAAAAATTGTTTCGTATTTTAAACAGCCTGTATCGTAATGCGGCGATGAAAACGCAATCTTGTAGATATTTTTACGTAGGCTGCAGTGACGTACTCAGATTTCTTTGCGAAATAAGATGTAATTTTTAAGATACCTGCTAAATTAATGTTTTTTTTTCTAAATGGAACACCCGATATAAATATTTTCTATTTTATTGTGCTTTTTATACACTTTTCAAAAAGTAAGCTTACCTAAATATTTTTAAAATGAACATCCATTTTGACAATTTAAAAAATATTCTTGTTTTCTATTTGAATTTCATACATATTATTGTTTAAATAATTGAACTAGAACGTGGAATCCAGAATTCAGTGGCGTACTCAGATTTTGATATACACTTTATACAAGACCTCACATATTTTTTAAAACTTTGAGCTTTTTATACGCCCTCCAACAATTTATGATATTTAAGACATATTTTATAAGATAAGTAAAAATATTTACGCTTATTGATTTGCTTCCCAAAAATTCTACAATACATTTAAAAAAGAATATTCCAGATTATATTATTGTTGTAGTTCACACCGTATTGGTTTCTGATGAAAGAAAAACCCACAGCCTACTCTAATTTAATTTTTTGAAACAATTTATACAGTAACCATGAAAACAAAATTAGGTAATTAACATTGTCAAAAAATAGTTATTCTACTACAATTCTTTTCCTTGGTTCGTTGCTTTAGTATAGCTACAAATAAATTATTTGAACATAAAGAACATAAGTGTGTGTATATATTATATATGGTATTTAATGTAATTTGCTCAAGTTTGGATCATTTAGTAAGCCAAAGCTCGATGAAAATCAGGAGGAAAATGAAACTAATGTGTTAGGATTTATAAATGCAACGACTGTTAAGTCATGCAGAATAGTGGATTGCAAAATAATAAATTTTTGAAAAGCATATAAAAAGCGTCATCAAATTTTTACCAAATATACGATATAACAAAAAAAACAAAATTTTGGATAATATTTTAAAAATTAGATCTATTATAAAAAATCTGAGTCCTCCGTTTTTATTACCTCATTACGATACAGGATACTTAAAATACCATAGGTAACTGATAGGGCCAAATTCTCCGATTCTCCCAGTGTATCGAAAATAAAACCAGCTAGGATTGTTTTGGAAACGGCATCTTTCGTTTCTAGAAAATCGATCATAGTATTGGGAAAAATTCGCAATAACATAACGAAAAATGGCCAATCTGTATATATTATGAGACTTCTATAAATTGCTAATTTTACCAACCAAATTAACGTAGTAAGTGAACCACGGCAGTAAATAAAAAACTCATCCGTAACGTCTAAATCAGAGAAATAAAATTATTATTACTGCTTGTTTTCGTTTACGGCCGTTGTACGGTAGTTAAATATTTGTTGCTTAATGTTAGACAAAAATAAATCTCTTACTTGTTTTCAAGACAATTGTTTTACTGAAAAAGACGACATTACCTGCGTCAGACGAGTAAAAACTTCGTTACTCGTGATACTCGTATTACAGGATAATTCAATTGCATTATCTACATTTTATAAATTTCTCTTTTGAATCACCCTGTATATAATTCAATTCGCCTCGTCAAACATCAAACTGTCAAGTTTAAATTAAATATAATTAGTAAGACACCATAACTATGATTCTTACAATAAAAATACAAACAACATATTTGACATTTTATATCAGTAAATTTTACTGTAAAATACATAAGGACTATTCAAAATATTTAAAGTAAAAAAAAAAACAAAAAAGTTTTCTAAGATGGTTGCCCTTTTGACTATCTGCTGATCGAAGGGTGGGGGGAGGAGTAGTTTAGATCTCTTTTAAAAGAGCGTCCCTTTCTTTATATACCACGTTATAGTCAAAAAAACAACCAAGTGCAAACCGCATCTCAAGATCTTTATCCCAACGTAAATTAAAGTAAAACTTTAGAAAGCACTTCAACTTCACATGATGTTATTAATGTCTGTCTAACTATCCCTACTTTCCTCGTGCGTCGGTTGTTGATAAATCGGTACTTTTTTTGCAATAACTTTTAGGAACATAAAATTATCCAGTAGCCGTTTTGTTTATAAGTCTAACTATCCCTATTTTCCAAAATAAAACACTAATTTATAATTTAGGACGTCAAATATATCAAATCAAAATAAAATTTTATATTGATCCTTATTACTTTTTGCAATACCTTTGAAGGGCAAAAACTACCCAGTAGCTGACATTATTACTAAATTTTTCAAATATTTTTCAATTAAACATTTGAATGAACATAAACATAATTCAACACCTAATATCACAATTTACAACAATTACTACAGATTATAATCATTAACTCGCGCACTGTTTTTCACCAGTTCATAACAATTAGGTCCTTTAAAATAACTAAGAAGAAATAATGACACCACACTTAAGCAAAATCCACTGAGCAAACCTAAAACGTTTGTCCTGCTCATAGTCGTCCACTCTTTAAACAAAATTGAAGACGCCACGAGTACAAGCAGAGTAAAAATTACATAGTAAACAGGTGTGACTAAGCTAGTATCAAACACATCCAGAGCTCTATTTAAATAGTTCATTTGCACTAATATGCATACTGTGATAGACAGGAGTAAAAATATCAACATCCACGCTGCATTCCCAGATGTCGACTCTAAAATTTAAAAAAAATGTAAAACTATAATAATCTAAATTTTTACTTGCTTCCAGTTTTATCACTTCTAGTCTCAAAAAAGTTTTAACAACTCACCAGAAACTAGGTTTTTCAATGTTAATCCTAGGGCTTTGCACGCCATCACAGTTAAACTGCCAAAGGCAGAGCATATCGTGACATAAAGTACTACATTTCGACTGCCATATTTTGGAATAAGTGCACAACATATCACTGAACAACTAGAAACCACCAAAATATAGTTCAGGAAAGCAGTGCCCCAAATCCTTTGCATAAGTTCATCGACAGATTGCGAATCTTCCTGTTTGGGAGAATTGACTACTATCAAAACCGATCCCAAAATGCATAAAATGCACCCAGTCTGTAAAAAAAAACGTTACAATAATACAATATTTTTATAATGGGACAATATCTTTTTCAAATTATATGCGCTAAAAATTTGAGATTTGTAAATATTTTTAATTATACACGGTGTGAAAATTTGGAATTAATATAATATTGGTGGGGGCAATCAATATTTTCAAGATGTCGGATATACGGAAAGTGGGAATCAGCGTTCACATTTCCCCGCATAATATCCTATATTTAAATTTTAGAGCTATTTAGCATTTTATTTAAAAAATTACGTTGGCAGAGTAAAAAATTAAAAGACATTTTTCTCTCCTTTAAACATTTTTTTACTCCCTTCTGTAAAATTCCCAATTATACACCAATTTAGCGTGCGCAAAATGTTATTTTACCACGTCAGTTTCGTTTCCCACGGATACTGGCCACGGAAAAATAAAGTAGTGACTTGAACGCCATTTACCACACTTGTTGCATAATAGTCACATTTCTTCCACTTAATTCCAAATTTTCAAAATTTTTGCTGCTTATAGTTTTCGCATAACAGATTGACGAAATTCTCGGTGGGATGCCATATATAAATGAGATATGCGTGCAGCTACTTTCATACAAAAAAACTGATACAGCTTGAACATTTCACAATCCAACATATCACATTTTGACAAAAAAAGTTTGTTTTGGACGTCCATTATGGGATCTAAATGCAGGTTATGCAAACATTTTGAGTAATAAAAATTAATACGCATATTTTTAAGATTTGATTGTTTTTCCCTGGCGGATATCAAAGTTTAGCTGTTTCGTCTACTGTTTTAACCAAAGGTGCAAGATCGCGTATTTTTATTGCATTGCCATTGCGTGCCACTTCACAACTACAAGAAAAGTATATTAAATCTATTTTTATTACTAAAAACTATTGTGCTAATCAGCTATACCCTTTGGTTGAACATGAAATTATTATAAGCAATAAGAGACATCTTATTTGGTAAATTTGTGAAGATACCTTGTGAACAATGTATGCTTAGAGTATTAGAGAATTCAGTATTTTATTCAGTTTTATTGTTTATCGTTCATTGTTGTCGTAACTTAAAAAACGTCTAAACTAAAGACAAGAAGAAACGCTGGGAACGAATTTAATATTTTGTGCAATCTCCATCCAAGTTTTTGACTCATGGTCATAAAAGAAGTTCTCTTCAAGTCACAGTTCTTCCCATATTTCCTGAATATCTTGCAATAGCTCTCCCTCTTTGGAGGCATAAAATTTCGTTGATACAGCTGTTTCACCATTACCGCCCATGTGTCTTCGATCGGGTTGATGTCAGAACTGTTACTTGGCCATGCCAAGGTTTCAATGTTGGCATTTTGGAGCCATTGTGTGACAATGTTTGCAGTGTGGACAGGACTGCTGTCTTGTTTTGGAAAATATAATTATTTTTTGGGTAATGTGGTTCCACACAGGGAACCATATTGTTCTGCATTAAGAGTCTTATCAGTTTTTATGAGACCAGTCGTACCTATAATGTAGAATAATATCTCCACACCCTGTATAAGGAGTGCTACAAAAACAACCCTTATATTTTGTTGCATAGTCCTATTCCGGGCAAAGTTTAGACTTAAGTCTAACCATTTTTAATATATTTTGCAATTTATAAGTCCTTGTGACACGAAATAAAAGTTAGTTTTCAATGCTGTTTAAACCAAAAAATATGTATATCTTTGAAGACAAACATTGTACGAATCAGTATAACAAACAATTTATTTAAAGACAAAATTTTTCGTACATCCAAGTCCCAATTTTTGAATTATCCAGATGAACAAACAAATAAAAAAATTTAACATTATTACAATTTGTTCAATGTGCAAAAAATAATAACTGACATACCTTCCCCGCGCATGTGAGTTTTTCTTCCAAATATTTTGAAGCCAGAACCGCTGATACCAAAATACTTAGAGCTCCTAAAGGAGTTACCAATGATGCTGGAGCAAATGCATATGCTGCAAAGTTTGCTAACTCACCAACACCCACTAAAATTAATATTAAATAGTATGTAGTAATTTATTTTTGTATAGTAAAAATATATAACAAACTGTTACATACAATTATACATTTAAAGCAATGATTCTAAATTGAAGGACGTCATTTAAAAACGCCAAGTCAAGATTATTCTGATTAAAGCAGGCACTACTTTTGGACAGCTTAATTCATTAGTTTCCAACCCAAACACCAAATGCATCCATTAGCACTTATCTGTTATAGCATTAACAAAAAATGCATCAGCAATTGAAAAATTACTAAAAATGAACAGCAAACTTTTAAATAACGTCTTTATGGAATAGCTTTTAAGAGTGCAACATTATTCTATTCATATCATCATTAGCCACTCACTAGTTGCCAGTCCCAACCACCATAACCAATCTTTTAGATATCCATATCCCCCTGCACTTGCCCTTAGTCCTCCAGCATGAAACAATCTTTTTAATGAAATTTTCTTTATGATAAAACTCGATCCAATAAAAACTGTAGAGCTAACAGCCAGACACAGCCCCAAATAAAAATGAGAATTTTGTTTATTTATGTAATCATTTTGTTTGGTTGTATGCATTTTCCGAGAATTTTCTACTATTTAACCAACTGGATTTCTATTTAATGCAATCCGCAACATACTGATTACCTAAAAATATTAATTACAGGGTCTTAAAATTTGTGGCTTGTGTCTTATATTATTATGCCGTTTAAAGCAAATATTGAAGAACATGACCTAAATATTTGTTTACATTCAATTCAATTCAATTATGCGTTTCACAAAAAAATGTTGGGCTCGACTGCTAGGATCATTCGCCCATTGCCGACTTCCGTCGAGGATTTTCGCTTCTGGTCAATGACCACCACGTCCAAAGAAGAAAAATAACCAATAATTTGCTCAGCTAGCAAAAAACGATTCTGACCGATACCAAAAAAATCGGCTTCCCCCCGCTTCCACCACGGACCATCCGGGTCCATCCGGCCTCCATACCGGCGTGAACGGGGAAAAACGACGGGGCCGACGACGATTATCACTTTAAAACATGCACTGAACACTAAAAACACTAAGTCCACACAGTGGAAACCGATATCAAACTTTTGAGGACGAATACAAGGGATTCTGTCGGGAGCGAACGGAGGTTAAACCGCCGCGTGCAATGCTCCACCACAGAATCAATTCAACAATTATGCGTTTCACAAAAAAAATGTTGGGCTCGACTGCTAGGATCATTCGCCCATTGCCGACTTCCGTCGAGGATCTTCGCTTTTGGTCATGGACCAACACGTACAAAGAAGACATATAACCAATATTTGCTCAACTAGCAAAAAACAATTTTGACCGATACCAAAAAAACCGACACCCGCCCGCTTCCACCGCGGACCATCCGGGCCCATCCGGCCTCCATACCGGCGTGAACGGTTAAAACAACGGGGCCGGCGGAACTTTTACACTTAAAACAAACACCAAACACTGCCGAAACAGAGTCACATAAATTGAAGACCGATACCAAAGGTTTTTCGAACGAATTCAGCGGATTCTGCTAGGAGCGGACGGAGGTTAGACCGCCGCGTGCAATGCTCCACCACAGAATCATGCAATTCAATTCAATGATGCGTCTTACAATTAATGTTGAGGAAAATTGCCAGGATCATACGCCCATTATATTTCGATACTTACCCTTCATTTACATTTGAATTTTCGCCCTAAGATCTTGATCTACTATAGGTATAGATATTAGGTATTAGATAATATAGTGGCCATGCTGGGGTAAAAATTGATGCGCCACAGGCAACATTGACATGTTCGTAGAGATGGTAATAATTTTCAGCGCATGTCTCTTCGTTCCACCTACTAACCTGTACTTTGCACCATCTTCTTTTTAAACCGATATTTTGAGAAAAAACTGAAGTAAAAAAAAGTCATTAGTTGAAAACGGAATTTTAAATCAAGCGCATGCGCATCTTGCATGGATGACTCAAAATTTGGACCATATGTGTAAACTGAGAATTACGAAATTTGGATGTAACCGTGGGATATAGTGTTGATGTGTGTGAGTGGCTGATTTTAGCAAACTTGTCTCTATCACTTGTTTGTGAAAGATAACAAGAAGTGAAAAAGAAAATATTCTGTGCCTTACCTATAAATAAATTTGGCTATAGAAGTAGAGAAGAAGAAGAGCTGTAAATATCGTAGAAGATTAAGGTTAGTTTTGGATTGGTTTTAAATTTGATTTGTTTTAATGTAACCCGACTACAATGCCCAATTGGAGCCAAATCCAAAATCAACTGCGGCATCCTGCAAACCCGGTAGTATTTTTTGATGTATCGGTGGGAACAACGGTAAGACTTAAAAGAGTATTGCTTTATCAAAGTGATATTGATGGTACCTAAATATCTATAGGAAATTGGGCGCATGATATTCGAATTATTTGCTGATGTAGTTCCAAAGACAAGTGAAAATTTCCGGCAGTTTTGTACGGGAGAATGCAGAAAGGATGGGGTTCCATTGGGATATAAGGGAGCAAGTTTCCATCGAGTTATTAAGGACTTTATGATTCAAGGTGGAGATTTTGTAAATGTAAGAAAACTTAAGAGCAATAAAAATGGACCAATAATTGTACAACAATTTTCTAGGGTGATGGAACTGGTGTGATGTCCATATATGGGGGAAGCACATTTGCTGATGAAAATTTCACTTTAAAGCATGATGGACCTGGACTTCTTTCAATGGCAAACAGTGGAAAAGATACTAATGGCTGTCAGTTTTTTATTACTTGTGCGAAATGTAACTTTTTGGATGGAAAGCATGTAGTATTTGGACGTGTGATTGATGGTTTACTAGTGATGAGGAAAATTGAAAATGTTCCTACAGGTCCTAATAACAAACCAAAAATTCCAGTTACAATTATTCAATGTGGACAAATGTAGTATTTTTGTACATTTTTTTAATGTAATGAACAAGTTTTATTGTTTATTTGATACCCTATTTGCAAGATACTTTAACAAATTTATTATTTTTGTTAGTTTCTTACTGTTTTATTAAAAGTATGGTCGGGATTAGCCGATTTTGTATTTTTAATTCAGAATGGTGTTCCTAATTTTTTTGTGCAGACAGACAATAGTATATATCATATGAGTTGTAAACAAATTACATTAATTATACATTTGCATTCGTAAACCTATTATTTCTGCAAATATGATCTATTGATTTAAATATACAAGTTCCGCAACAAGTAAAGGCTGATCCATTATAAATGTTACACCCTTCAACACTTCCATTTTACATTTTAGAAAATATAATTACTATTAAAAAATTACACTACTAGTCCGGACGACATTAAATTTGTCAGTTGTCAATTGAATGGTGCCAGTGATTTATTACATTTCTTCTCCAATGCTAAGAAATTAAAAATTGAAGTGTCAAATCACCAACATCACTATCCAGATAGATTAATTATTGTTGTCTTCTTGTGTTGTAACGGACATGACATGAAATAAAAAAAGTCAAGCACCAGTAAGAAATTCTAAACAGCTGAAGCTGCTTAGGTAAATGTTTGAAGCCAAATTATTGTGAAGCTCTTATAAGTGCCGAAAATCCTAGGAGTTCAATTCGTCCAGACCTGGGTTTTTTTTTGTAATTACGCTTAATCAGGCTAATCTCAATTAGGATATGCACCCATTTTCCGGCATCCGCCGAGGAAAATGAACCGATAACAATTTTTTCACGGACACAACACCCAAGGCTCCCGGTGGGAATCGAACCCACAACCTCCGGCAAGTTCGAATTGACAGGTCAATGCCTTATAGGGATATTCCGATATTAGTAAATATGAGTAGGTACTCGATACTTTTGATTCGATACCAAGTATTTATAGCATCGAATCAATCTTGCGAAACTTACTCGGTATCGAAACAAAAGTACTTGGTATCAAATCGAATCAGCCTCACCATTTAGAAAAAAAACCGAGGCAAAAGTGAGAAAGATGTCCGCCCTTCATTTTTTTTTTCATTGTCAACCAACACAAATTGTCAAACATACAAGAGATTGCTTACTAATAATTTTATTTATTGTAATCATCGGCTTATTCCAATGTTATCATGGAGTTTTTTGTTTAAAGTACGTGCTTAACGCGACGCAAACCCTTATAATAAAAGTTTTCTTTTCCTTCTTAATTTTGTTTTAACTATTGTCCTTCAACGTTCATTGTTAGTTTCCTTAAAGTAAATAAAAAATAATAAATTGCTAAAAGTATCGATATGAGTAAGTATCGATACTTTAGGAGTATTTATTTGAGTAGTATCGAAAAAGATTTGAGTACTATCGAAATAAGTAGGTATCGATACTATAATTGTATCGGAACATCCCTAATGCCTTACCAGCCGAGCCATCCTCGGTCCCACCTGCGTCGCGCGGCAAAAGAAAAGCAATAAAGTCGAAAACTTCAAGAAGAAGAGAAAAAAAATTGTGATCTACGGTGACCTATGCACATCCTTGTAGGTTATGTCGGTACGAGGAAAGTTATTTAAATTTTCAATTTCCTTTAAAAAAAATGACCTCCGTTCTTCCAGATAGTGATGCTTATCAAGTTTATAACACTCTTACCTCTTTAGGATGTTGCCTTAGATGTATTCTTAGATTTTTAGGCGTGCCGGTTTTTGAAAATGAAAGTTTATACAAGAAACCCCAACAATATTTTGAAAAGGTTGGTGATTCTTTGCATTAAATTTCGTCTTTATAGAAATTTATATTTCAGTTTGGCTGTAACAATGGAGGTGAATCTTTGCCACTTAAAAAAATTAAGTTAAATCCTTGCCCAACATGCTTAAATTGCTTCGATGACTTATTGCTGCAAACTATAGCAGAACAGCTCAAAACATCTTCAGTTAATCAGTACAACTATAATACTTATATGCTGAACATTAGCTTTCCTAAAAGTGTCCCAATTAGGACACACAGCATTTGTTTGCACTTGAAAACCACATTTCCATTACTTTCCTTATATAATGAAGATGTTGAAAAACCAGGTAGGTTAGGTTAATTATTAAGTACTCTACATACACTTTAGTTGTTTTGATAGAACAAAATAGAAATCTAATTGTGTTCAAATGTCTTCTACAGTAGTTGTTCATTATTTTTCCAAAATGCGGAACAAACCTCAATAAATATTAGTAAAGATTCATTTTAAATAAGATACTTTGGCATCTCATATCTTCAAAAGCAGACAATGTAGTGTACATATTTATGCGAACTTTTCTACTTATAATTGGTCCAGGACTATATCTTAAATTTGGTACATAGCTCTAAGTAAGTATACATATAGAAGACATTCCAATTTTCGGCGGCTATATTTTAAGCACGCCCTAAAACAGAGATCAACTTTTTTATAGACTACGATCTCAAGTACCTCGCTAGAGCACGTAGTTGTTTTATATAATATTTAATTTACTTTTTCCAGTGTTTCATATTCTGGACTATATACCCATGAAGGTGTCACAATCATCTATTCATTTATTCTTTTTCACATGTCAGTTCATAAGACTTAATCTAGAATGTAAAAAGTTTTCAAATAGTAACTGACATACAGTCACTAAAATACATACAGAATTGTTAAAATATGGACACACATCAGCTTTATTATGGATATTAACATCATCATTCACATACAGTATTATAATTGACAATATAACACTTAATCTATACATCATCAAAGTGTTTTTGAACAATATTCAAATAAAATGTTACAATCTTACAGTTGCCAGCAAGAATTATAATTGAAAAAATCGTGCACACTTTAAAAAGAGTTAGGGGCAAACTTAAGTCTGTTGTGACACCTCCCCAACTTACAATAGCACAACATAAGATCATCCCCCACTCTGGCATATTAGAGGCAGAAAAACTCTCCTTGTTTGACCTTATGTAGATAATGCGATAAAATATATACTGTGCAGGAATAAGGATACCAAGTTTACAAAAAGCATACCAGCAATTCTCCTTGAATCCCAAACCAGCACGAATTTTGGAGGGTGGTACAGAGCAAAGTAAGACGCGAGCAGCTTGTGTGTCCTAGGATACACAGTCTGTTAAAATTCTCAACGAAAAATTCTGAGCCTGTGACAGACATCTTCAGTATTTTTGATTCTACGAAATTTCACTGAGGTAGCATTCTTTTTGAGCAGTGAAGTTCCTCAAACAAAAAACATGTCTTTAAATTTTACTAGCCTGTTGGAGTTGAACCAGACCTCAATCCTTGATTGTGGCTTGATCCATCTCCTCTCACATATTGCTTGTATATTAAAATTTTTTAAAATTTAAAATCTCTTACCTTAACTAGTTTCCAAAATATAAATTTATTAGAATCATCATTTATCAAGTCACCTATAAAGCAGTATATCGTAAAAAACAATAATGTTACTTTTATATCCATAGGAGGGAGTGCAATGCACGGTTAAAAAATTGTGATATAATTTCGGAACACGCATATATTGAGATGTTTCTTTCTTAACATTACAGAAAACAATTTAGAGTTACCGCACAAAATATTTAGAACTATAGCCTCTGATATATTTGCCAATGCCATTGGAAAGGATTATTCTCCAAAATCCAATCTAACAATTTTAATAGCCTTGGGATATGAAGATGATGAATCGGTATGTGTAGATAATTAACTCTTTACTGTAGTGAGTTAAACAGCTTATAGTCTATTTTAGAGAGGTGTAGAGTAATGACACGTCATTAGGTATGCAAAAAGACTATAAAATGACCAAATACTTTCCCTGCTGGGTATTGCTTTTGTTACAAAATTCTTCTTTTTATCGAGTGCAGACACTATCAATCGGATTTAGGTCAATTTTTGGGTTTTTCCTATTATCTATTTATCAGCATTGAAAATAGTGTGCCTAACTCGTCCCGGTAGGATACTTCTACAAAATTTCTCAAAATTTCTACCCAGAAATCCAATGATAAAAAATCGTACTGTTCCATCTGAGGAACTGTCATCTGCTCTTGACGTTAGAATTAACGAATCGACATATCCGATCAACACGACCTCAACAATAAGGCGGAGAATTGCGAGACCGTAGACAATCGGGAGTCACCTCGAGAAGGGCGGTTCAATGTCTGTCGCTTTTAGTGTGAATGTTCGGTTATAGGTTTTAATCGACTTATTTTTTATTGTTTTAGAAAGACAGGCACATGTATTTGTTACTGAAAAAATGATAAATTAAAAGAAACAGTATTCGCGAAAATGTGTGAATAGCTTAGCCTTCACAACAAGTCTCAAAATTAGTGTTTGAGATATCGTTTACTAATTTTGAGGAAGCCATTAAAAAATAAATAGTTTATATATTGACAATTGCTGGCAAGTCCAAAAGATCACAGAAAAAAGTAAGTGAAGAAGTAAATTCCATAAATTGAAAAGGTCGCATTTTCGTGTCTTATGATATTTATGGCTTACAACGGAAATTATCAAAATATCTGGTTTAATGAAACAGCCATAAAATTTCTAAACAAAATGACTAACCTAAGTCAGCTTGTTAAAATTATTACTGAAGTGACTAGGATGTTAAATTTGAACCCGAAAGATAGAATAGAGAAAATGTTTGAACCATTTTAAGCACAGTTTCAGAACAATTGCCAGCAATTTTGTATTTGATATTAGGAACGCCCTGCAATTACAGTGACTCACAGCTTAAATGATGCAGTCGCTATAACAAAAACTAACTGGTCTGAATGTATCTTTATTTATTTACCAAAAAACAACTTATTGAAATTAAGTTAGTAGTAAAGAGCCTTCTAAAAAGTGTGAATTAACTTTTTGTCTTAAATAAGCCTTACTTAACAATAAGGAATAATAATATATTAATAATAAGAATATGCAATATTAACGTCACAGCTTAAATGATGCAAAAATAACTGGGGTCAAAGCTTATCAGTTTGAAATTTACCAATCAATTGTTTTCTGTTTATTTTGAAATTTTAGAACACGTTTTCGTTCAGTAAAACGAATTTTTTAAAAAATGGGTCGTCAGACTCCAATTTCTGAGAGAAATTTGATTATTCCTCATCACAGAACTGGATACAGCCAAAGAGACATAGCCAAAATGGGAAATAAATGTCCGTCAACTGTTCAGCATATCATTGAGCGTTACTGTAACGAAAATAGGATCGAGAATAAGTCAAGGTTAGCTGCAAATAAGACCTTCAATGAACATGAGGACTGATGGATTGTAAGAGAGATATCGAATTATTCAAAAAAAAGTGCTCCAAAGATGTGTGTCGAGGTGGAAAGATAATTTGCAAAAAGGTGTAATCCTGAAACAATTCGACGAATCCTGCGAAAAAATAATTTACATGGTCGAACATTGGCATTCACTAGAGAGCATATCGATAAAGATATGAACTTCTAGAATTCAGTCATATTTGCCAATGAGACCAAAATAAACCTATTTGGATCCGCTGGAAAAATATCAGTATGGAGAAAGCCTAAAGAAGAATTAAAATTGAAAAATTTAAAAGCTACAGTAAAGCATGGTGGAGGTGGAGTGATGTTATGAGTCGTCTGCAGGAGTCGGTAATATTCATTTCATTGAAGGATATATGAACCAATATGTGTATTTGCATATATTAAGACAGCATCTGGTTGCTAGTGCCCAAAAATTAAATATGGGTAACAATTATCAGATCTATCATGACAATGATCCAAAACACACATCATTTTGGGTCCGCAGATGGTTGCTGCATAACTGCCCAAATATTATTAAGACACTAGCCCAGTCACCAGACTGAAATGTAATTAAAAATTTGCGGTTGACATTAAAAAACAAAGTAAATAGTGCCCCAATATCTAACAATGAATTAAAGGTAAAAATTACTGAAGTATGGAACACAATTTCCCCGGAGCCTACTAGAAAATTAGTTGAATCAATACCCAGAAGACTACAAGCTGTATGGATAATATGATAGGCCCGACTAAATATTAGCAGGAGTATTTCAAATTAAGCAGTTTTTCTCTATTGATTTGGTTATATTTTGTTTTGCATAATTTAATCAATTTTTTATTGTTGACTAAGTAAGGCACGTTTAAGACAAAAAGTAATTCACAGTTTTTTAGAAGGCACTTTACTAATTTGATTTCAATAAGTTGTTTGTTTTTTTTTTCAAATAAATAAAGAGACTTTCAGACCAACGCCTGCATCATTTAAGCTGTGGGTCACATTAAATATATCGCTTCCTTAAAGTGATGGCTAATACTTTAGTGTTGCTAGGCCTTGGGATGTAGTAGGTATTGGTCTGATCAATCAAGTAGTCAAGATCATAATGGAATAATGAGGGGCAATATAGCAGCTAAGATGGTAACGCCTATAAGCGACACCAAAATTGAGCGGAACTGGATGGAATTTCCCATTGTATTACTCTACGCTTTTCTGAAATAGCCAATAGTAACTTCGTGTACTGTAAACTACGTCATTTTTAAGGAAATCGAAGACATTAAAAACCTAGAGAAGAAAAAATTTTTAGGTTTAGCGAGGAACTACCATAGAAAAAACATCAAGAAAAACGAATTCAGCAGAAATGTCATTTCTGAATTGTTGAATGACGTAGATCCGAAACAGTTTATCAAGTTGTTTTCTGTTCCGCCCGTTGTTCCGACAAAATTTGCGTTTTTGGAGGCCATTACGATTCAAGCCGATCCAATTTATATAGGTGGCAGATACTTGAAATTTAAACGGAACGTAGCGCAAACTCCGTGGGTCGTAGATGGCGCAAATGTCGTGGAGCATAACGTCCAAGATATTATATTCGATGCTATCCAAAATGTGACTGGGTAAGTTAACTACCATATGTCAATGTTAATCACGATTTAGCAAAAATAATAGTTGGAATGATAATATGTGTTCATATCTACTTAAATACATTTGAGGTTAAAACGCCTTAAAGTTGTCGTGTTCTTAGTCTTTTGATTCTTTGCTTCACAATTTACTTTTGCACTAATTGTATGACAAGGTAAACTAAAAAATTATTAGAATCTTATGGAACTTGTAAAAATGTTGTTATGCTTGTGCCCCTCTACATTGTCGAATGAGTTATTTAGGGGGGTCATTTTGATATTTTTGGTTAAAAACTATACTGAGTTGGCTGTATGTAAACTGTAAAATGGGTTGTTGGGGGGGGGGGGGGGTGTTGATCTTCTGAAAACCTATTCATAGTAGTTGTGAACTGAAAGTTAGCGTTAGAGTAGAGCAGGGCTCAGTGCTTGGATCGCTACGCTATGTCTATAGTCTGAAGTTTTTGAAGCTGGCTGCAAAATACTTAATGTGTGCTGGTGATACAGTTCTGGGATACAGGAAGTTTTAGATATTGTAAGTGATGATCTTGGCAAGTATTATGACTGGCTAAGCTTTTAGAAGCTAAGTACAAATAAACACCAAAATGAGAAAAAACTACAAACTGAATATTAAATATTGCTGGGAGAAATGACTGAATACAAATACCTTCAACTGGTCATATCATATGAATTCAGTTTCACAGCACGCATAAACAATATATATAAAATGAAGCATGTTATGGTACCATTAATTAATATAGAAAATAGAAATATATTAACCTTAGCGAATGATATCGGTGACTATCCTAGGGGATGGATATGATTCGACATGCATGGCTTCACCCCAAACGAGAGCTTAGGACAGTCGCAGAGAATGTGTTATACTGTCACGCCTTTCGTTCGCGGAACACGGGGGGGGGGGGCAGGGGGGGGGGGGCAGGGGGGGGGGTGCATCACTCAAACTCTGGTTGTTATTTCTTTTGGATAGCTCATTTTTAGAAATTATTTCCGGGAATTTATCTTTAACGACTACGGACAAAAGACAAGGATGACCACATTGTCGGCTGACGCGTCAACGAGGACATGGCGACATTCTAGTGCTAGTCGTAAAATGTCGTCAATAAAGTACCAGAACTGCCTGGATCCTATCTGGTTATAGTTTTACCAGTAACTTTGCGGCTAGTGATTTTTCTTGCGGCTACAGTAATACCAGCGAGCTCCATCTGCAGCTAGTGTTGGGACTGGTCATTCAAGCAGCCGATTGACCACTTCTTAATTGACTAGTCCAAAAATGTTTGGAATAACTATTTGCAATTTTAGAGTATCTATCATTATTTAATAATAATATGTATTTCATAATAAATTATTATGCGTTTGTGATGTCCAATTTACTTAACACCCTCTTCAAGGAATATCCGAATATGATCCTTAGTGATTCGGGGAATCCCAATGATAATATCGACTCTATTTGGTTCCCAGAACGACGCGACGGCTACGTAACGCACAATATAAATACATAAATATAAATTTTATGGTATTTTAAAAATTATTTCGGTCAATTGACTCAAAAAAAATTGACCGGTCAAATCCACAACCCTATCTGCAGCACACTAGGCATCTTACCTATAGTCATTGTAATGTTAAGTTTTAGGGATTTGGAGTACACTCCCTCCCGCTCTATTTTTTACTCTTAAATTGTATAGCTTATTACTACATTAAACTTTATTTACAGCATTGACAAAAATAAGATGACATTCACAGCGAGTGGCCGAGAAGACATCGACGTAAGGATGTTGGGCAAGGGCAGGCCATTTTATATAAAAATAGACGACGCGTATGATGGACAAATACCGAAATCTAGTTTCGACAAAATTCAAGAGGAAATAATTGCCACCGAATTGGTCGCCGTGATTCAACTACAGAATGTTCTCGCGTCAGATACGAAAATAATCAAAACGGGAGAAATTGAAAAAAGAAAAACTTATAAAGCATTGTGCCACACGTTCGTCCCTAATGTTCAAGATGCGGTTGACATTATAAATGGGATTTCAAGGAATTTAGAGATATCTCAATTGACATGCATGAGGGTGTTGCACAGGAGAACGATGTTATCTAGGAAAAAGAAGGTTCATAAAATATTTGCATCCGCCATTCCAGGTAATTCTAATTGTTTCAAACTGGTGAAAAAGCCGAAAGAACTTAATAAATAAACAAATTATTGAATACGAAAAAAAGCAACCCTAAATTAAATAACTAAACATGCCTTAATAAAATGTCTCTCATTAGAGACACGCATGGCTCCGGCAGTTTTTGAAATCTCAACATGAAAACTAGGATTCGGGGGTTTTTAGAGATGACGAATACGAATACTTTCTATTTTTCACATAATCTGTAGAGGGCGCTAGTTACTTCTCTATTGATTCAAACAGTTTTTGAAATATTGACATAAAAACTTGGATTTGCGGGTTTCTAGAGATAGCGAATACTATTTTTCACATAATGTGTAGAGGGCGCTAGTTACACTCTATTTCATGCTATAACTTCGATGTTAGTACCATTCGGTTACTTTTTTCTTAAGATATGGTTACGTCTTTCTAAAAATATAGAGTGTAGATTTATATTAAGCACACTGTGTTCGAGATAAAACTGGTCCAAATTTTAAAATTGGTTTATTCGCGAACTCTTCGTTTGGTTTTGAGTGATTCTTCAGCAACAATACTGTGTCACAAAGTTTTCCTCAGAATTTGATTTCGGCATATAGGGGGTGAACAATTAACTAATGTCGTTATTTAACGGCTTATTTTTTTACAATTTTGGTTTACCATAACAAGTTTTCATAAGAACAACGTGTTGATATTAAATAGATTATTTAAGTTTAAAACGTAAAATGTACCTCTATTATTTTACATTCACAGCTGAGCTACATAAATTATATAAACAAAAAAATATAACAAATTAATCAAGTTAGGTACAATTAAATAATTATACTTCAATTGAACAGAAATGCTGACCGTTCTTATACGAAACCTAAAATATATTAATGTCGTATTAAATAAAACAAAACTCTTATTTGTTAATAATTCCTCCAAATGAGTCTATTCTTGAAAAAACAGTTTATAATGAGGTGTAAACTAATCTGGTTGTAGTTGGAAACATAATTCACTGAACATCTAGAAAGTAACCAAAAGTGGGAATAATCTACGTATCTTTTTAATATTCATATGACAGCCAGGAATATGTGTATTCACAATGGGCTATGTATGGGAATTCAAAAGTATTTCTTGAAGGAATCATAAATGCAAAAATAAATAGGGATTTTTATTTTAAATATATTTTTGTATTGCCACGCTTTTACAGAATGAACATGTATGCTAGAAAATATTTTCAAAAAGTATGTTTTGTTATAATTTTTTGAAATGATGCTAAGACCTTGTTAATTTTTCAAAGAAAGTTCCACTGGCTTCTGTAATACTTTTTACAAAACTTGTGTTCCTCCTGCGTCGGTTTTTGCTGAGTCGAACTTGCTGACGTTTCGCCAATCCTGTTGGTTTCTTCAGAGCTTGACTGAAACTGGCTCGTTTCGTTCGGCAACAGCTGATGAGTTTATTTGTCTTAGTCGTAAGGCTTTTTTATGTTCTTTGAGTCTAGTTGATATTTTCGTCTGCTCTCTCCAGTATGTGTGTGGGATTGCTTTCGGTCTCAATGCTATTTGATAAAGACACGGTGTTGTCGAAACAATTGTTATGTCAAAATATATAATTTCGTGAAAATCTAAACTTTTAGTTCTTATTTATTTTGATAAATGGATTTTCATCAAGTCACCTCAGTGCAATTGTTGTGGTGAAGTATATTTTTTGATGGAACGGTTAATATCTTTAATGTGGAAATTATTTGAAAAAAGAGCCGAGGTAAGGTATTTTAATTCTAGCTTCAGTGACTCGGACTGAGATAGTTTTACGGCTCTGTAAACAAGAGAGTTGGTAACCAATGATTTTTGAGCCGGATGGTGATGTGACCATGCATTAAGGTATCGGTCTGTGTTCGTAGGTTTTAAGATTTTGTGTTCCATGTAAAAATACACTTCACCACAACCTTACAAGAGCAATGAGGCCGAAAACAATCCTACAGTTGCTATTGTGGTCCTCCCTTACATTCAAAACATCACTGACCACATATCAAAAGCTCTAAACAAGTATAATGTCACTAGATTTACCACTTGTCCAAAAATCTTTCAACATCTTCAGTCCGTCAAAGACAAAATTCCATTTGAGATGCCAGGAGTTTACAGCATTCCATGCATATGCGGCAAAGAATACATTGGAGAGACCGGATGAAAAATATCAACTAGACTCAAAGAACATGAAAGAGCCTTACGACTAAGACACATAAACTCATCAGCTGTTGCCGAACACACTCATGAAACCGGACATAAAATTTTATTCGATAAAACTAAAATTCTTGCACGTAATCAATTCTTCTACCAACGAAAAATCCGAGAGTCTATAGAAATCTATAAACAACCTAACAATCTTAACCGCGACTCATGTCTCCACCTGTCACCAATATGGGAATCAGTTATCCGAGACGGTGTTTATGCCCCTCATTTAGCTCCATCCCCCTCAAACATATATAAGCAGGTACAGAGTAAAATACGAGTCTCAGTCAAGCTCTGAAGAAGCCAACAGGGTGATTAGCGAAACGTCAGCAAAAGCCGGCGCTGGAGGAATTCAGAATTTTTGTAAAAAGTATTAGACCTTGTCACACTATTTTACCACACTGTAAGTTTGGTTGTTACCATACCTTATTCTTTCACATGAATCGTTTTAGGTCAGCATAATTTATTTGAACTAGATGTGGAGACCGATGCCGGCACGTACATCAAAGAATTGGTAAACGGTGATTTTTGTCGAACCGAACCTAACATATCTTCACTTGTGGGTTTTCCCGTAGACGTAATGGCATTAGATTGTGTAGATATTGATTTAGTTTGGCCTAATATTGAGAAAAATCCAACGAAGAGTGGGAAAGTGTGTAAGAATCCAGAAGAAATCGCGAAAAATCATGAAGCCATTGATTAGCATTCTGGCAAAGGAATGGAAAGGAAGAAGCTGTAATCCATTCTTGAAGCAAAAAAAATTTCAATCTTTTTAATTATCGTAATAAAAATGAACGTTATGAGAAATTTTTCCTGTTTTTAATAAATTGACACGAAAAAATAGCATAAAACAAGCTCTTAGACCTGTAAAATCGGTAAACAAAGTCTTGCAAAGGTGGTTCTAAGAATATTTACATAAAATGAGTACAACATTTTTGAACAATAGTCGTTCTTCTAAAGGCCTAGATATATAAGCCTTATGTTGGAACCATTTAGTTATTAGAGCGCTTGCGCTCAATGGCCGCTGACAGTTCGTAAATTCATGTTTACACTTTTGCGAATAGCTATTTTCGCGTAGCTGAGCTCCAATGTATTCGGAACATAAACTGAATTTCAATGATTAGGTACGAATGTGCCAAATAAAGACCTCTTAAAAAAATACTCATTATGCACATGTAATAGTTATGGATTAATTAGCTAGCCTATCTTGCTTTAAAATTACCTAATAAAATTGAATGAGTTGAAGAATTTAATTTTTGTTATTAGTAATTTAGTTTTTCAATGTAATCTATTGCATTGGATTAAACCTAAACAGAGTATTAACACAAGTCTCATATTCTTGCATTTATATCAAAATTGCAGGAAAGAAATTTAGAATCATAGGATGAACTATTATTATTGTCTTAGTATACTATAAACCCAAATATTGAACAAAAATTCAAACAAGTAAATAAATGACCATGTCTTCAACAAAATTATTCATTTTGAAAACAAATGTCACTTAAGGGACTCTTAAAGGATTGTTTATATTTAAGATTGACAATTAAGTGGAAGTACAGATTCTCAATAATTTTAAAATGTGTAATTTAAAAACTATAGAAAAACATTTCAAATAAAATAATGTTTATATATTATCTTCTACTCCTGCATCTCTGATCATCACTGCTATTGCTTCTTCGATGCCTTGATTTACATTTATTCTTTTTTGTCTTCTCTTTCTCCTTATATTTATTGTAGCTCGATTTTTTATTTTTGTGTTGTCCGTATTCCTCATCAGATTCGCTATCATAATTTTTTTGATCTTGCTGTTTTTCTCTGTTTTTAGCTGACCTCTTCTCATCGCCATCACTGCAAGAGTTGGAATCTCGCCTAGATTTATAGCTGCTATTGTAAATAGTTGAATTTCTATTACTGTTGTGACTTCCACTTGATCTATGTTTCCCATTGTTCCGCGAGTCTGATAATTCCTTGTACTCTTCATATTTTGCATTGTCTGCAATATAGACACATGTATGTCAACGCTTAAAGCTGCCTTTTTATGGAATATACCACAAAAAATATTGACAATGCAAGAAAAATGGTGAATAATGAAAATGGCAAATTAACCTTTAGTGTTTAATCAAGACAACAGATAAAACAACTTACTTATAACTCTTGATCCTTTTTTGAAGTCATCTTTACTTATAGGAGTCAACAACAGTTCATTAATGTTTGCTATCTCGCCCTTTGGATAAAGTTTGACAATTGCACGCCCTGCTTCATCATCAAATCCTTGAACCTGTTAGTCACAAAAATCAAAATTCACTCTAATTTCTTCTACTTTGTTAAATTAAATATTTAAATAAAGTGTGGTCATTCATAAACAAAATAAATAATAATAAAGAAAAAATTTATATAAACTTGAATATTGACTAAAATCTCTCAGATTATTTTCACAAAACTGCCAGATTGTGTGTTTGTTACCTTTTTTAGAAAAATTTGGTTAAAATCAAATTGTTTTGGAATGAAAAGGTGGATAAAATAAAATTATATTTGTCTATACCAATGCTTGATGGCATGTATTATTATTCAACAAAATATTAGCAACATGTGCGCAACTTACTTCACAATAATTCCCTTTGTAAATGCCAGCCACAACTTTAGCAAATGCACCCTTCACAATGACTAATTTCTCATTGTCCTTGTCAACTGCTTTATTTTTTGAAACAGCTGACTGGATTATTTTTGATGCTCCTAGGCCTAATCCTTTTGGTCTTACTTCGGGAATATTTGTAGCAGAAGGTTTCGAGGTATTTTTCCCAATTGGTTTTCCTTCCTTCCATCCCATCCCCCTCAGCATTGCCATGCCATATTCACTTATGGGTATCATTTCATAATCATTCAACGTGGATTCTGCTTCCCCTTCAAAGGATTCTCTGTTTTCTTTTAAAGGAAGTTCCAAACCTTTATCCCCTGACGAGTCATTTTGAAGCAAACGCTTCTTTGCATCTTAAAATCAATTAGGTTAACAGCCTTTAGATAGAAATGTGATTAAAGATTTTGACAAGGTAATAAAATTAGTGAAACACCAACCATTAACAAGCTCCCTGGCTGCCAATTCATCTTCAGTTAATTCAGAAGTCACCCCCTTATCTTCCTGTTGACTAACTACATTTTTTTTCTTTTCACTCAACTGATGAATGATATTATTTCTCGTACCTTTAATAGGAATTACCAAAGGCTCGTGAACTTTCTCAACAAAACTAAAACAAACAAAGAATTTTAGCTCCCAATAGATCAAAGTCAGTTTACAAACCCCTTTATTTTAATTGCATGCCCTTCTAGACAATCTATTAATTCCACAGGTTTTTCTTCTGGTTTCACGAAAATATTAGGTTTTTTTGTCAATTTACTGAATCCAAATGAAATCTTTTTCTCCATTTATGTAAATATTCTTTAATATTTTCTTCTTTAAAATTATGAGGTTATGTATTGCTCCCAAATTTTGGATTTCTCATCTACCTTCCTTTGTTTCTATAATACGTAAACAAAAGAAGAAGACATTTATCTGTGGTAACTATTTCTACTCTGGACCAATCCAACGGCGAGATTTGAGTTTGAATAACAGAGTGTTTGTTTACCGTTGACCGTTTTTTTTTGTGAGTGGAGAATGGCGCATTTTACTTTCGAAATTCCTTCTAAAAAAGATGAATTACTCAATGGAGCTGATAATTACTGGGTTAAAAACGTAGTTGTCGTTAGAGATTTATGGGATCAAATTAAGGGTGAGATGGTAAATATGTAACGCAGTTAATAGCTTTCATACTTTTTATTTTGTAGTCGCCAGAAACTGTTTAAAAGATGAAGGTGCTGAGTTTATATTGGAAAATTTCGATACTTATTATTCCATACTGCATTTTGGAGAAACTGTGCCTGCAAACACTATAATTAATGGCTACAATGATCTTCATACAGGGATGCAGGCTCTAAATAAAACTTTGGCCTTAATACTGGATGACAAACAGAGTCTAGCTGAGAACGAGGAGCTTAGAGTTAAATACTTGAATTTATTAAAGATGATTACATATCTATTTAGTGAGATGGTATTGATGATTGAGCATATAAATGTAGTTAAGAACAAAAATCTGTGCCTACATGCTAAGAAAAAGAGAAAGATAGGTGTGGATGAAATAGATATGGACAAAAAAAGTCTTGTTCTGACTTTACACACCCTCATCCAGTGTGAAATATCTATATTCTGGGATCCTCCAGTTGTAGAGGAAAATTTTCTCAATTTGGTTTCCCAAGTGTGCTATCAGTTTTTGAGTAATCCAGATGTTAAATTTAAGAAAGATTTGCAGCAGGAAATATTCAGTTTACTAGGTACTATGATCATAAATTACAACCATGGTACTACATTTGTAATAAGAATGGTTCAGATGGTCAAGTCAGAAGTGCATTTGGTGGAATGCTTAGCTGAAGGAGTGCAACATTTAGTTGTGCAATACAAATGTAAAGGCCTTGTGCATGATTTAATTCGCGAGATAACAGAATGGCAGACAGATGAGAAATATCAGGACAGTCAGGGATCAAAGTACTGTGCTCAGGTTTTATCATCAATGGCTGTTCTGATGCCTGATCTAATGATTCCTGAGTTGCTCTACCTCAATAAATATCTCAATCATGATGTAAGTACCCAAATGTAGTATGGTAATAGTTTTCAAAAATATATTTTCTTCTAGTCTTCTACCCTGAGGATATCAGTGCTTAATGTCATAACAGAAGTCATTTTAAATGTCTTATCTAAGCCTGAGCTGACTGAAGAAGAAGTTGAATCGAGAAATGACTTTTTCGGTCTTTTAATAGAACATATGGCTGATGTGGCAGCTCATGTCCGGTATGCAGTTAGTTGTTAGGGATCTACTTATGTTTGACGGAAATTATTCAAAGTGCATCTTTGTTATAGTAAAGTAAAGTGGAACTTTATTGGTGTTCTTATATGCAAAGTATCTGTATTACAGGCCATAGTTCTTAATTAATTTAAATCTATCCCAATTGTTATCCATTAATCACATTTATATTACTCAAAAATACAAAAAATACACAAATAGGACAGTTAAAATTTATCTCACTGTTTTAGAATTTTTTTTCAGTATACACAGATTTTTTAATCAAGAATTTTTTAATTTCTATTTTTATTTATTTGCATAGGCAAAGAGATATTTTTGAGTTACCTCTTCAATATCATTGATATATAGAGAATAAGGGATTGTTAATTTTTTAAAGAAACTTCCACAGGCTACTGTAATACTATTTAGAAATCTTCTGGATTCCTCCTGCAAGGCATAAATAGAACAACAATGATTGGTGCCCCGGAAGGTACCACTTAAATTAATTATTTAAATTAAAAATTAACAATCCCTTGTTCTCTATATATCAATGATATTGACAAGGCAAATTATACTCAAAAATGTATCTTGACCTATGACACCACATATGGGGATATTAATAAAGATATTGAGAACCTGTTTAATTTTTAGTTCAAAAACATTCCAAAATTGGATTAGGTTGCAGCAAGAGAGTGCGATCCCTCCAAAATATTTAAATGAGGTTTTAGAAAAGTGTATCCAGCACTTGCTGGACAAAAGTGCTTTAGTTAGGAAAAGCGCCGCCAACTGTATAACGACCTTTTTATCTCACAACCATTACAGTGCAGATGTAGGTACTCTATAAAATTGCCTGTCTTGATTAAACATGTTCAATACATTTGTTCAGCTATCTTTGACACGAATACGGGAGGAACTCTCTCAGAAAAAAGCAATGTTTGAGGTGGTCAATGCGAAAGTAGAAGGCATACGAAACCTCAAGCTAGATGAGTTGCAAGCAAAATGGGACGTTATTGTGACAAACCTGAAACCAATTATTGATGAGGAGCTTAACAACGAAGGTATATACAATCTTTGTTTTTGTCTGCCTTGGTTTTCAATTTATCTTTATATTTTTAACATCCTGCATGATATAAATCCGAATGCTATGAATCATATTTAAGAAAAGGTATTACCTACTGGTTAGTTTGATTATTATTGAACTGATCATGGAATGTTTTTGTGAAAAAGAATGATAAATAAATTAATGATTGAAAATAATAAACAATATTTTTTTCTTCACGCCACTTGATTTTTTAATTTGTTGTATTTTTTAAACAAAACAAATGCAAAATTGATAGCTTTACTCTCTTACTAGACATACCGCATTACCTGAATTTTCAAAATACCTTCATAAACATTCCGAAAATTATCTATTTCCAGTATCTCATCTAGTAGCCACCATTGGGCTCAATATTTGTTCACTATGATTAGCATAGTCTAGTACTCGATGGTTAGTACGGTATAGTGAATGTCAACGGAATGTAGCAGCTTAGTAAGAAGTCAAGTGCGAATTTTAAGTAGTGTTACAGTTTATAAATTGAACTGAGGTGGCTTTTAACTGATGAAAATCAATTTAACAAAATAAATAAGAACTAAAAGTTCAGATTTTCACGAAGTTATATATTTTTACATGACAATTGTTTCGACCACACCGTGTCTTTATCAAATATTTGCCGAAAAGTTTTCAATTCAGCTATCTTTTCAAGAAAATGTACTATTGGTAATAGACCAGTTGTGTACTAGGGGCTTTTTTAACATTTAAAAGAACAAATTATATTTCAAATTTTTATAAGCATGTCATGACTAAAATAATAAATATTCCATTATAAGAGATTTTCAAAACGACAATTAAAATAACTGTATAGGAATAATAACAATAGTTATCGTTATATTTCTCCTAAATTAAAATATCAGACAAAAACTTAGTTTCTTTAATATTTATACGTCACAATATAACTTTTATTTACTTATTAATTTAAAAGGGCTCCTTTTGCAATAATTTTTGAACGCGTGAAGTTATCGATATGTGGTTTTTTCTCGAAAATTTGATCGACTTTCTGTTTCTGTTGAGACAATTGTATTATTCTATTTGAAATGTCAGAGCAACATAAAAAAAACTATAAATGTTTGAATTGGCACCCTCCGGGGAAACAGTGAAAACGACTGTGTATATATTTTTTCTTGAGTAGGCGAGGTACAAACTTATAACATTTCAATTGCTCAGACAGCTCCCACTCGGCCCTTATTTGTTGCACTAGAATTAAAAGCCACGAACCAAAAAGAGACAGAATTTTACAATGATTACGGTGGCCGTATTCTTTTACCGACTTACGATAAAACTTAATTTAGTAAAATGCATTTTTCTACTCCACCATAACTGTAACGCTCCATAGCGGCGCAGATATGAACTTGTCTGTATTTTTTTTTTTTTTTTTAAGAAAATGAAACCGCGAACGATGAAGATCAAGAAGATAGAGTGGATACAGCTACCACTCAAGATATGATCAGGATTTATCTGAACGAAGGCAAGTACAGAGAAACTTTTTTTATGCTGAAAAAATTGATGTTGGATTCGAAAGAGTTCGAAGAATTTAATCGTAACGAAGGCGGCGTTCCGACCGATCTCTATATGATCCTCTGCCAGTCCATTTTCTTAAATCCCACCAAGTTATTCGAAGAGATCCGTACCGGCATTGCCGAAGGCCACATTCAAGACGTAACAGATTACGACATAAACACTATCGTGGAGCTGCAAAAATCAATTGAATATCTCGATTCGATTGAGGGCTTCTTGGAGCTCGTGCATAGTGCTGTGCCAACTATGGTCGAGTTGCTGGAAACTACGACGATAAGTGATATGCATGAGGCGGTACAGTTTTTCATAACCGCCTACAAGTTTAACATCGACGACGCGATAGAAGGAGTGATGGGTGCGACTCAATGACATTTACCTGTGTCCGGGTTCTATTTTTATGTTGGTTCTTTCAGCCATGTTGCACATAATGCAGAGGAACGAACAGGAACGGCGGGATGTGGTGGTCGAAGCGTTCAAGAAAGTCTACCTGACTACCGACTCGAAATCCGTGCAGTAAGTACCGCTTTTTATGTGCTCCTTTACGTAATGATGGATATACGTAACATTAATGTTTGATTAATTTACTGTTTCATTTCTTTCTTGACGTGTGGATCACAGTATTTCCAGTATAATGTATGTAAATCCATGTCATGTCATTTAAAGTCACCTCGGGTCTGCCTCAGGGCTGCAGTTTAGGATCACTATATATATATATTGTTTAAAATCATTAGAAAATTTTAATTTCTTAATACCTAGAATCTCAGCCAGATGGAACACTTGTGTTTATCTACCAGCAGTTGGAACGTTAATGTCACCTATGCGTACAATGAGCTCGAAGTATAATGTGATCCAAATATGTCTTTTAAATTATTTGTTTGAACGTCTTGACTTAGGTCTAATAATATAATCTTTAGTCACTTTGTGTTGGTTGTGTATGATTGCTTAGGAGTGCCGTGTGAATGAGATTGTTAATAAATTTGCTCATATTGTTACAAACAGCCACAAATAAATCAAAATTTATCAACTTATTCATTTATTATTCATTATTGTGTGAGTGAATTTATTATCATTTTGACCCGTTTAATTTTTAGGGACCATTGCGTGACTGTGGTTGGACGCCTAATCAGTTTGCTGAAGACGGTAACTTTCGACAATTTGCCCAACTTGGAATTGATTATTTCGGAATGGGTAGCCAAAGGTGCGTTTACATTTTTTTTTTTCAAAATAACCAATTTTTCGAATTTATTGAGATTTTCCGCTTATTACAAAAAAACAAAAGTTTTGGTTAGATGAGCGAATCTGAATCCCATTTTTATGCCAACTGTTTTGTTCGGTCATATTTAGGAAAAGTGAGAAGGGGTATATAGAGGGAGAAGGAATATATAGAGACTATAGACTAATAGTATTTGATATGAGAGTTGCCTTTTAATTTTTTACAAAAAGTGAAACAGAAACGAACAAATTCGAAACAAAGTGTTTTTTATGCTTTTTCTACTTCCTTCTATAAACTACCTAATTATATACCGATATAACTTGCGGAAAGTGTCAGTTTCGTTTCCCTCGAATTCGAGCCCCTTCGGACATTTCCGGGATATTACCAGGACCAATCGGATATTTTTGGAGATAATATCGCACGGTTTGAATTTTGACGTTTGTCAATTCTGACAGTCCTGTTAGTTAATGTATTTGTGTTGTTTTGCAAAAATGTCCGTTTGGTAAACTTTTTAAGTCAGTGACTCAAATGCCGTGCATCACACTTGTTGCTTAATATACTATTTCGAAATATTTGCCCTTAAGTAAGTAAACATTTTTTCAACTCTGATGCTGATATCACAGAAACATGGTTCTGAAAGTCCTCAACAGCTTCATGAGGTGATGAAAATCGCGACAGTGGGCAATAGAAATTTTTCAAGAATAATTTAATTTTATACTTTATATTTTAACATATTAGAGAAACACGCTCACTTGTGGCTATTTACCCACACTATTTCCTAAAACTAAAGCATGATCTTGGTCCTGAACAGTGTTTTTAATAGAGAATAGAATAACGAGAGAAAGATGAAGAAAAAGAAAGATAGGTGGCGGGGGAAAGAGAGAGATGTTGTTGGGTAAAAGGGTGAGTGTGAGGGAGAGGGAGGGGGGAGAGAGAGACTGGGTAACGTTTACTTAATGTGTTAGACAATTTAGTTTTTAAATTGGAAGGGACTGTCTGGTATTAAAATTACTTGATAATGATTGTGTTCCAGGCATCCTAGATAATAACATAATCGATACTTTATGGAAATATTTCACGAGGAAAATTTCGGTGTCCGATGACGATGCTCTGGCAAGTGTGGAGCTCCTCAGGATGGCCGCTCTCGGTCGAAACACTATTATCTCGCGGAACATTAAAGTGGTCACAGCTCTCGGTAAGCGCTAGCCCTATACCAAGTTTCTTAATGCGAGAGAGTAATGAAATGTTAATTTGCATTGACAGGGATCATTAAACAAGTACCTGTCTCTCTGAGGATCCTTGACAATCATCTTGAAATATGACTAAGACCACTAAGTTTTACAGTTAAATAATGATTTACAACTCTCTCGCATTAAGAAACAGCATAGTATCAATACGTTAAATTTGTAGCGTTCGAGAATAGAGGCAAAGACGATATGGTGTTTCTGGGGGCAGCGTGCGAATTTTTGGCGGTTGCAGGTAGAAAAAAGCCTGACATCACTGCGGCGAATCCACCATTTAAAATTAAATGGGCCGATCCCGATTTTCAGGCACTGTTCGATATTTTGCTTGATAAATTCTTCGAACCGGTGCCGTTTTACGGCAAAGCCCTCAGGGGTGCGATAGAATTTGTTTATCGAGTAAGCACTAAATATAGGTATTATGGCTTAAGTTGTCTCAGTAAAGGCAAAGGTACGGTATTAGGAAATTAAAAAAAAGCTTCTTATATAAATCGGCAAATAGAAAAGATGTTCGGTTTCTACAAAAATTTCTAATGTTAACAACAATAATTCAAGTGGGTACTATTTTAAAGCTGAATGCTACCACTGAATCCATTGCGATTGTTTACCTTATCTCGTTTTCTGACACAATATAAAAAAGATAATTTTCTGAAAAATGATCATTAGATCGTCAAATAAGAGCCCAACCGCTCAGTGAAAATCGCGCCTCAAAATCTTTATTTATCCTGACGTATCCTATCCTTAAAAAAAAGAATTTGTTTTTTTGAAAAATGATCGATTTTTGGGATGTTATTGATTTCTAATTATCCCGAATTTACCAAATAAAACTAATTTATTATCTAGGATGCGAAAAGGTTATTATTTTTTTTTGCAATATCTTCGAAAGGCACCAAATTAACACGTAGCTGATATTTCTGACGTTTTGACTTGCTCCGCAGTTTTCAAATATTTAGTATTATCATTAAAAATTTTGTTTAATCGCTAATTCAGTCACTAATCAATTATTGGAGCCTAACTAATTTTATTAGCTATTGACTATAATATTTTTATATTATTATTAACTATAACTTTTCGGGACGTGTCTCCCTCTACATTTCATCCACTCATCTGTATTTTGCGCCATTTTATTTGTAAATAACGATTTACACACAAATAATTCGTTTTCCCAGAATATTTAAAGAGATCTAAGAGATATATTTTAGGAAACTACTGCGTAAAAATGCCGCATCCAAACTTATTGACAATGTGTCAGCAGCCATGTTGGCTGTTAAATGCCGGAAGGTCATTAGCTGAAAATGAGTTTTTAAATTTCGCGCATTCGAATGTTTTATAGGCTTAGGTAGTACCTCTATATCTCTAGTAGCTATATGGTCAAAACGCCACGCATCTTTCATGTCGTTATTTGATGCTGGTCAAAGTCTCTTGATTGGGTACCATTTTAATTAATTGGTTATTTCAATTCATAATTTACTACTTTAAAAATTCTATAATTATCAAAATTGTTTAGCCTTCAATAGTTGATTATTTTTGATTAGTTGGCGAAACAAAAGCATTAATGGAAAATTAAGTGATAATACCAGATATTTAGAAAGGGCTACCGTGTCACAGAGTAGAAATATCAGCTACGGGGTAATTTGGTGTCCTTCGAAGGTATTTTATTGTAAGAAAAGTAATAAGGACAAATAAATTTGATATCCTAAATTAGGCGTTAACAAAAACCGATAAAGTGATTTTTTTTTTCAAAATTCAACTTTTTTCTTTAACGCATATTCTAGGATCAAAATATTGAGAAGCGATTTTCACTGTGTTGTTGGACTATTATTTGACTATTTAACGACATTAAAAAAGTCATGTGATTGAATTTATTATTTTTTCTATATATTCTTTTGAACTAGGGTAAACAACATTAAATAAAAAATATTTGAATCTGTCTCAACTTGAAAATATTATTTACCTTAATGAGGTTTAAAATTTAAGATAACAATTACGCCTTCTGATGGCTATTTAAGAAACTCAGAAATAATTGCCACTACTTTTTCTCTGCCAATTTACTTAATAATTTTTTTTCAAATTTTTGGCACCCTCCGTTCCCTGACTTGGATACCTGGTACAGTATGTCTGAGTAAGTTGCAACCATATGGGACACTTTTTTTCTTTGTTTAATTGGTTATTTTTGGTAGGCTCCATATAAATATATTTTATTTCGGAACTAACTGATGCTTCGGATTTTATTTTGAATCCTCTTTTTTTAATTGTCAATAGTTGTGTAACAAGCCGGAGAAGTTGTGGGAAGAATTTGTAAACAAAATCTTAAAGCGACTGCAAGACTCGGCCGATGATCTTGTGGAGGTAGATACATTCGTCCTGATAAGATTATGTCAACTTTTGGGATTGGTGGCCATCAACCAGCTGAATTATCTCGACGAGACTATTTACAAAGAGTTGAAAAGGCGCGAGTACATCAAAAATCAGCGCAAAAGTGGTAAGACCGCAAACCAACAGCTGCAAAGGATTAGAGAAACGAGCCGCAGAGCATCATCACGTTCTGCGAATAAAAACAGCATTTTGAACACGACTCAAGATCAAACCGTAAGTGTTTTCCCTAATTAAGTTTTTTTGCCTAAAGGGAAACAAGTTAGCTAGTATAGTTTTTTACAATTATTATGGCGGGGATATTTAGGAAAATTTAAATTTGTTGCACTTACACTTACCGGAGTTTTTGGAATATATCTAAAATTTACTTGAAAAATAATTAAAGAACACAAAGTGACAAAATACCATCAAACTGAAAAGTGAAATAAAAAATTAAAGTAAGCAAACAAATTTACCTCTGTTACAAGCTGTTATAAGTCTCAAGTTGCATATCGATTAATGAGAAAAGATTTTTGAAAAAATCAAATTTTGCGCGAATAGCACTGCCAGCGAGTGCCACTTTAAAGCTTTAGCTTCATTATTGTTTCATGTTTTCGGTAGATTTTAAACATTTTGACATTGTTCACATAGACACATCACACGTCAATGGGTGAATGAATTAATGCTGGTTTGCAAAGACATACATATACCCACGTCCCATTTCTCTAGTGGTTAAAATACTGATTATATAATTAGTTATTACTGTAGTATCTTTGGTACAAGGCGGTGGTATACAAGTCAAGATGGCGCGTAAAGGCTTTTGAATTTCTGAGTGTGTAATACTTTTTGTGCAAGATATTCATATTTGCGTAGACTGTAAACAAATCCAAAACAATATTTTTGAAGTTTATGGAGACGTTTTATTCGTTTTTTTTTACTCTACACCTTTTTGAAGTATACCTTAGCTAAGTATTTTTTAAAAGTTTTTACGCTGAAGCGTAAATCTTCCTATCTTTTGGTTAATTTTTAGGGCGACGACACTATGGAAGGTGCCCAGGCGCTCGATCAGGACGCCGAATTTATTCACACACTTTTGGAGATGAATACGGTAACAGGTTCCGAAGGATTGGGGGGCCTCGCTTACATCATCAAGGATATCTGCGAGCAACAAGACATCTATGATGATGTGGAATTACAAAACAGCGCTGTCATCGCCCTCATGAGATACATGCTGGTCTCGGGGCCGTTCTGCAAGTCGCACATTCAGCTCTTGTTCACCTTATTTGAGAAAACGTCGCATTTGGACGTCAAGGAGGCCATACTCATACATCTGTCCGACTTACTCACAAGATTTCCGAATATTATCGAACCGTGGACCCCGAACATCTACCGATCGTGAGTGGATACGATACTTCGTCAAGTTTGTGCAGCCCAATCGAAATTTTATTCACATTTTCTAAATAAAATATAGCTCTATTTTTTAATGAGGTGTAAAATCTACCTAGAGTGTTTAACACCAAACAAAAACCTCTTGCTTTAACAATGGAGTAAGTTCAGAGGTAAATTAACGTCGAGAAAAATTATATTCCAAATTCTACTACTACAAAACACTACTAGTAACTCGAAGGTTTTCTCTTTTATTCATTGACTAATTCTAGTAATACCTCTTATTTAGAAAATGTTATTTGGATATTATTAGACGGACTTATGTCAAGAAGAAAGTATTTTCTAAAATACAGGGTGTGTCATGTAGTGATGGTTACTTTTGTTGTTAATAAGGTGGAGGTTCAATTTTGAGTAAAAAATGTTAACATAATTCTATACCTAGCAAGCGCCATAATAATTTAGTTTTGGTTAGTTTAGTCAGTTGTAGCGACAAAAATTGCTGGAACTGAAAATACACTTTTTCTCATATTTATATGTACAAGGTATTCTTTCAATTCTTCTTATAATTTCAATTTTAAGAAATTAAGAAATTTCCATGCAATGTTACTCACTGATTTTCAACAATGAGTAGAATTATGTAAAATGCTCGTAGTGTAATCGCAAGTAGATTCGAATTTTACAAAACAAATAATATGGACAGACGAATGAAAACTAACCAGAGACGATATTTTTAATTTAATTTAATAACTCATATGGTCAGCCGAAAATTGCAATGTTATTGAAAGAAAGTTCCAGCAAAAATTCTCTCAATGAATTTTGCCGCTTTATCTGTTTTTCAATGAGGAGAATTTGGACGAAGGAAAATACATGCAAATCTTGCAAACAATGGTCACCAATAAATTTGACTGTACTAGCAACCTATTGCATCAATGACGTTAGTGACAATTCAAGAAAGATAGATTACATCTGTAGATCTCGTGGTCACCTCGTGATCACCTGACTTGGATCCTTTGAATTGAGATCAGAGATTATGATTAGATTAGATTAGGCTAGATATGATTAGATTAGATTGAGCTTTATGGTACGACAAATAGTCGTGCGGAACTGTTAAATCGGGTTTATGTGGCTTTTAATGGCCTACAATCAACAAATTAGAAGAATCATAACATTTTATATTGAAGAAAATATTTTAAAATGTGTTAGGTTAAACGGCGGTCTTATCAAATAATTATTGTGATAATTGTAACAATTGTATACAATTATTCATATGTATATAATTTTTTCACATAAGGTTCCATAATAATTATTACCAATTTCGATTAAAACGGTTAGTTTGATTAATTGATTAATTTATGCATATTCCGGCAAAAAAGCTTCATACCTAAAATATGACTAGAAACGCTTACTCAGAATTGAATTTCCCATTTATTAAAAATAATCAAACTTATCAAAATGGACATTTTCAAGACGGCTATAGTCGGTCGGTCGAAGTTGTTCCTATGTAAATCGTACTTTTAAGTTGTTTAGTGATATTGAGTAATTTCTTCATCATAAAACGATTTGGGGTACCTTAAATAAAAGTTTTTCAGAATTTTATGTTGAATATAAGAGTGCAATAACATACATTGTGTTCCATTTAAACAACAAAGCGGATATTGATCATAACTACATGACACACACCCTGCATATTTGAAAATATACTCACCAAAGTTCAGAACAAATAAATCGTTCTTCACATGTCTAATAGGCCATCTACGTAAATCGCGCTGTATATGGGGATACTTTATAGAAATGTACCTTACAGATTAAAGGATCCATCTACGAAAGTCCGCAGGACGGCTTTCTTTGTCATATCTGGGTTGATTCTGCAGGATATGGTACGCGCGCATTCCTATATATCCCACATGGCTGACTGTTTATTCGACGAGGACGACAAGCTGAAGGGAATGTGTCGTACGTTTTTTATCACGCTAGCCCATAAGGAGAACAACCTGTATAACGCATTGCCGGACATATTCTGTCACCTCACGAGTACTCCCGAGATCGGAGCGGACAAAGTGGGAGTGACCATGAAGTAAGCGCAATGTTTGATCCATGATTTTTGATAATATAAAAATATTATTTTACTGTATGTATTGCATTGAATATTATTATGTTTTAAATTGTTAATATCTACTTTTCTCAAAACCTGTAATAGTTATCAAGAAATTTTAAATACTCACTCACTCACAACTTTGAAAGTTTAACAACTCACAAACTTGAAAACTAAAGCGCCCTCGTTTTGAGCACTTTAGGACGTAATTTTGGTAAAAACAAAATTATTAAAAATATGCCTCATGATTTTTTTTTGCAATTAAAATGCAGAATATTTTTTAATCCCATATTTTTGAAGGAACGCGTCTTCAAGTTTGAATAATATTGCTTAAAATGCGATGTTCTTTCTTTTTAAGTATTTCATATCAATTTGAATATATATAAAACGATCGTCCTATAAAAGGACTCCATGTTTATCAGGTTTGCTTGTTAATAACCTATACATTTATATTACTTTTCCAGTAATATTAAACATCATGGAAACTTTTATAACACTTACCTGTTTGTCTTGAAGCAATGTTGCTCTTTCAATAAAACCTAAGGTTATTTTGAAATGCTCATAGTTATATGTTACCAAAGAGGTAAGGTATCTATGAAAAAATATGTAAGCGGTAGTATAAACTCGAATTGAAAACTATTAGTGTCCAAATGTCAAATGTCATAACCTGACTTTTCAGTTGTTGGTTGTCCTTGAAGGAAGTGTATCTAGTTTTTAAAAAATATCTAATTAAAGCTTAGAATTAAACTAAGGAGGGTAAACGTTTTATTGCTAATTTCGAAATATACAACTATTTAAATAGGCAAATCTTTTTTTTTAAATACTAAATACGATAAAATAATAAAAAGGGAGTGAAAATTTTTTTTTGATGACACAGATCACTAAAGTATAAGGAAGCTAACCCCATACATATGTATTTAGTATGTCAGAGACAGTAAGCATATGAAATATGTCTAGAAAGTTCGAAGAAAGTTCCAAATACATTAATGTACAGGGTGTTCTATTTAGAATAAGAAATGCATACATACATCCTGTATATACAATATACCATTTTAAAATTATAAGTTAATTCAAACAAGTTTTTGTCTTTAAGCTTTTGTTATATTACATTCTTTCATTTCCCTCCCTTAATCATGATATGTAAATTATGAGGAACCCAGGCACTATAATTTTCAAAAGTATCGCATGCCTTTATTGTAGCTGAGTTTAGAGCATGATTTAGCATTCATTTTAACTGCTGACTTGTTAAATCACACTAAACTTTAATGAATGCGTTAATCTTTTTAGTTCCAATAGTCTTTTATTTCTTATCTTTTTTATTTATCATTTCAGGTTCCTGTTCGGTCTTATAGACAAGTCAAAGCATATGGAGAACTTAGTGGAAAGGTTCTGTTCCAAATTTCGCTTAACAGAAGACATACAGCAACAGCGCCAAATAGCGTATTGCCTGAGCCTGATCACGTACAACGACAAGGCGCTTAAAAATCTGCATGAGAACTACCCGTCGTATAAACACTTGCTGCACGACTCGGAGATCTACGCGTCCTTTAAGGACATAATGGCCAGCTGTAGTAAGCATCAAGTCGGAAAGCCAGATCTGAAGGTATAGTGTGTCTCAAAGTATATCGTCTTGGCTTTTGATGTACCCTCCCCCAAAAAGTAATTACCATCTTCATGCCTATTGTTACTGGGTTCACCCGACAACCAATAATTTATTCATAGGTAAGTGGTAAAACGGGGCGAGTCAGGTAGATGTCGCGGTTGATATCGGGTACGGTGTTGAATAATACGTTTTACCTTGCGTTTTGAAAAAGCTTCTTACGAGTATGTCACTAATTTATAACTAGAGTATTCATTAAACGAGAAGCTTTAAAAGAAACCTGGCCGCTTACAAAAGCGCCAATATCGTCGATGAAGAATTTTTAGTAGTGGATTATTAAATGAAAGAAAAACCGAAGTGATTTTCAATCTTACCGTTTCACAATAAAACGAGTCCATGTTAAATGTTGGAGGGGCTAACTATTTTTTTTCTGGAAATGAGACACTAAATGTGGTAACTGTAAAATTGACTGATGTTAGACTAAAAAGTGAAAGATATCGAAAAAAAAAGCCATTCTTTATTATTATATAGTTTCGCGATGCCCGACGTTTGTTTTTTTGTACAAGGTACGAAAAAAATACAAAAATATAAAATTTGCGTAAAGAGTAAAGTGGTTTTATGAATTTCAATTCACGTTTGTGAAAATTTTTAAGAAAAGTAGCCAAATATTCCATTAATTCAAAGTGGATCCATTACTGATGTCAAGAAGACTAAGAAAAGATTTGACGAGAATGATGCTTTAACCCTATTAATTTTGCAGTGGGTTAATGAAAACCCCCTGCTTTCCTTTAGAAAAATGTGTTAAGGCAAAATAAAATCTGACTATATAAACCGGTTTTTATTCATACATTGGAAGGTTAAGCGCTTGGATTTCTGTTCTTTGTATCAGCAATAAAATTCTAAATAACAACGTGAATTTTTCTACATAGCAGTACAAACGTCATCGTGGCTTCTCAGTACCTGATACGGTGGAGTAATGTAAATCCATAGTTTATAATTGCGATGCACTGTCGATACTTCGCTGAAGAAATTGATGTATATGTTAATTTGCTGTATGATTTTTTGGGGGCGTCTTAAACAACTGTCCTATTAAAACTAACCAAGAAGTTTTGAAGCAGAGAATATCAGAAGCAGTAGATGCTATTTCGCTGGAAGAAATAACATTCATTTTTAGTAAATTTTGACGTCCATTAGAAAAATTTGTAGAGCATGGACGGGAAGTTTTGGTTAGTTTTGATTAATTTCATCTGTCTTTTTTATTAGTATACATAGGTCGAAGCAGAACTGTTCAAATAATTATCAAATTATTTTCACACTACTATAGTTATTTTCCTAACAGAATACTTTTCCCCACGCCTTATTTGACATTTACATTGACATTAACAAATAATGTTGATAAAATAATGTTAAAATATACAGTAACTTACTATTGTTAAAATTAGACAGAAATATTCAAAAACGAACAAGAAACTTGCTTTATATAAAAGCCGCGTTAATTAAATAATTATGCAAATAAAAAAGTCTACCTACCTAAAGAGTTTCTGCGAGCAAAGTTAATAATTTTTATGCTACTATTTCTGTAAATCCTCTAGTCTAGATTTTTTCCCATATTGGTGACAGGTAAATACCTGAGTCGCGGTTAAAATTGTTAGGTTGTTTATAGATTCCTATAAACTCTCGGATTTTTCATTGGTAGAAGAATTGATGAATTGATCTGGTTTCATGATTGTGTTCGGCAACTGCTGAAGAGTTTATTTGTCTTGGTCTTAAAGCTCTTTCATGTTCTTTGAGCTTAGTTGATATTTTTCGTCCGGACTCTCCAATGTATTCTTTGCCGTATATGCATGAAATGCTGTAAACTCCTGGCATCTCAAATGGAATTTTGTCTTTGACAGATTGAAGATTAGAGATTTTTGGACAAGTGGTAAATCTGATTTTGACGTTAGATTTCTTTTGAACTTTTGATGTGGGGTCAGTGATGTTTTGAATGTAAGGAAGGACCACGTGCCAAGTGTAAGATTGCTTTCGCCCTAATTCCTATTGGAAGGTTGTGGTAAAGTGTATTTTGTGATGGAATGCTTAATATCTTTAACAGGATGATTTCTCGAAACGTTAGCAAGTTCGACTCAGCAAAAACCGACGTAGGAGGAATATAGAATAGTTTTGTAATAGTATATTATGCAACAAGTGCGGTAAACGGCATTTGACTTCCCGCACGCTAGATCGGTGTGTAATTAGATATTTTACAGACGGGAGTAGAAAAAAAGTATTTCCATCCTGTCAAAATTTCAAAAAATAATATAATATTGCCTCATGTCCAACAAAATATCCACTTCGTTCGTCTGTGCGTGTGGACAATAGTGAAGATGATAGGACAAGGAGGAAAATCATCAATTATCAAAACCAGATTGTTCTTCCCTTGGATAAAACCGAAAATGAAGCTATGAAACAGAATTATTGGCCGTGCCTCCCCCCATAGGGTTATTTGTTATTTAAATCACAAAATGGACAAAAGCGCATTGAAGATTTAATTGTCTTCGAGAAGTATATATATCCGAAAACAGACGTATAATTTACCTAGGTGAAACTTAGTTTGATACACATGATTCTACACTGTTTGGTGTTGTCTGATACAAGGTACAAGTGCGGAACCTCTTATAACTGGTTTCAAAATTAGCTTTTGAACAATATTCCGGATAACAGTGCCATTGTAATGGATAATGCAAAGTATCACATCCGCCAAATAGTGCAATAAGGAAGGTATATTTTATTTATGTGAAACTAGGGTTGTGGAATTGAGCGGTCAATTTTTTTGTGTTAATTGTCCGAAAGAATTTTAAGAATACAATGAGATTTGCATTCGTTTATTTTTACCTATTTATATTGTGCGTCACGTTGACGTCGTGACGTTCTGAGAACTCTATATAGAGTCGATGGCTTTATTGGGATTCCCCGAATCGCCAAGTATCGTATTAGGATATTCCTTGAAGGTGGTTGCAAAGAGTGTAAGGTGGAGGGGAAAGTCTCGTATACGAATGCCATCTAATATTTGTGTCCAAGTACTAAAGTACTGTCATGGCGGTTGAAAGTATTGCGTCACACTGAAGCTTGTAATGGATAACAGCACTTTATTTATATTTTAATAAAAAAAAACTTTTAAAACTATTTTGACATTTTTTTTTTCACCTTTTAAAATTTAAATTGAATTGAACCGTACGTCCCGCGTGTTCTTCGTTTTCCAGACTGGTCACAATCACTAGAGGCGTTGAAACTCGTATACGCTTTTTAACATTACCACTAATGGGAGCCTTCCCCTCTATCTTATGCTCTTTGGATGGTTGGTTATAGGTAAATTGGACATCACAAACGCCTAATAATTTTTTATAAAATACATATAATTAATAAATAATGATACGTGAACCATGTCTATAAGTTTTTCTTGTGCTTTTTGTGGGTACTTTATATATATTTTTTCAACTACGCTTTCACATTTTACGTTCTTTAAAATAGAAAAAATACAATTTAGTACCAATTCGAGTAATATACAGCTTTCAATAAGATTTTTTTTATTCTTAGTTCTTCATATGATAAAAATGAAAATGGAAAAGATTGTGACTTTTCTATTTTTTTAATGAGAAACTAAGGCAGCATATTTTTTAACAAATGGACTGTTGATTTTGAGTTTGACATCTTAGACAAAGTATTTTTAATTAAGTTTTGGTTTATGCCAGCTTCTTCAAACATTAACTTCGTGGGTACTGAATGCTGTGGTCTGTCTAATAATAACAATCGCTTAAAGAAATGCATTTTGAGTTTAAGTATTTTTTTGCAGATTAATTTGATACGTTTCTTTAATAAAATAAAATTTTATAAAAATTTACTCGCGTATCTTTTCGCATAGGTACTCGCTCGATCAGAAAAGATAGTAAAGCTAAAGTAAAGTCGTAGGAAGATAGAGGTATAAACCTTAGTTTAGTAGGCAGCTAAAGGCGGATAATTTTTATTGCAGAGTTAAAATAGTTCTTTAGACTAAAAAAATGCTAATAAGAAAAATACGTTTTTGGGCATGTACACTTGTTAGTTTGTTTAAATTTATTTGTCACAAATTTGCATAGACGTAATGTTTAAACTTACCCGTAGTTATTTCATCCATTTGAAAACTAACAGTTATAAAGTCATTCTAACACAATTAGAACAAACTATCGTTTATGTATTTTTCAAAGAAACTTCCACCGGCTACTAACTATATTACTATGTACAAATCTTCTGGATTAGCATCCTGTTGGCTTCTTCAGATCTTAACTGATAGGGTTTTAGCTCAGAGCTGAATTGAAGCAGTTTCAGAAGAACAATGTCAGCAAGAAGAAGATTTGTAGATAGTATAATACAAGTGTACAAGGTATAGTTTTTTGAAATTCAAAAATATTTGTTAAAAAATGATATTTATTTGGAATTCAGTTACAATAATGGACAACTTTTGGAGGTGTTAAATTCATAATACTCTTAGAAACAATATTTATGTGTTGGGTTAGCTAAATGCCAAGCTGTTATACTTTGAGACAAAGTATAAAATCCTTGGCAAAGCGAGCGACTTGGATGATTTGTCGGTTTTAGCCGTTAGTTGCCGAACTTCAGAAAACTATCAGCGCCACATTTGAGCTGAATCAGAACGAAGGGATGATGGGACCTCCGCCCCCTCCTCCCAAATCGGTTCGTTCGAGGCGTAAACGGCGAGTAGCAGGGAAAAAGAAAAAGTCGAACAATGACAGCGATAGCGACGATGAACGGTCAGTGAGGAAAGGTACAAGGTCCAGAAGGACAGTGAACTTCGAGGAATCAGATTCAGAATAGATGTCTTCCACTATATAACACATGGTTTGTAAATGTACAAATTACTTATTTATAATGTATATTTTTGAGAACCATACACGCAACACTAATTGCCATTATAGTAAATATTAAAGTTATACAGGGTGGTTGTAGTAAATACACCATAAAACAGTTCAAGATGTTTACTTCTTTATAGCTCGAGCACCGTAAAAATTTATAATTAATGAATTTTAGGGACCAGGATAAAATTACTACTACTGGGGTAATATTTTATATCTCCGCAAGAGTCTATTTAATCAAAAATGTTTAAATACAAAAGGTGGTTGTTACGTACCCTATAAGTACATACAGCACCCATATTCCTTGTTATTTAAATTTAAAATATGTCACATTATTTTAAACAATGCGCGTGTAGTATGGCGAAACAAGGGTGTCCATCATTTTCAAAGATAAACCTCGTTTTTTCAAATACATTTTGTGGTGCACAATCTAATTCTACATCGCTTGTCTATACCTATTTTCAACGGTTTTCTTGCTATTTCTTATTTTCTATCGAAAGTCAAACTCCAAATTTCTTTCTGGTTAACAAAGTTTTTAGACAGTTTGACATGTTCTTGGTGTTGTTTACTCCTAAAAAGTTAAGGAACTCTGGAACTGGACATCCCAATCATGGATTTTTTACTCCATGACTCTAAAAGAACTAGTGTACTATTTCTAGGCCTATACAAAATAGAGATGAATTATTGAATTGTGTTGACAATGCCTTTACTATATTGAATCAAGACGCACAAAGGACAAAAATATTGTACTATAAAAATAAAATTAGTGTAATGATATAATTTACCTTAATTTTATCTCTTGCTTCTTGTGTTCCAAGTTCATTTTACAAAAGTAAATAAAATTTTAAAAATTGTTACATATCTATATTATACTTTCTATAAACATTAAAATTATATAACGCAATTTAAACGTATATTTTTATAATCTTTGACCAATATTTGATACTATGAACGCCATGCGATCAGATATATCGCTCTCTCTGATTTATACTATATATAGCCTTGCATAACCTTGTAATATAGGAGGTATTAAATAATTCAGTATTATAGATTAGGGAGTAAAAAAAAACTAAGGTAACTCAAACAAAGACATTAAAATTTGCTTTATTAATTTTTTTAAAATTAGTATAACAAAAATCACACTTTTATTATAAAAATATTTTTACAAATACATCTCTATGAATAATAAAATGCAAAAGTAAGAAGTGATTTAAAAAAGCTGCTTGCTTAACATCAAATAACATTGGAGTGTGCTTATTTCTATGAGCTAATTCAAATATTAAGAAATAGGATCTGAATAAAAGGAAAGACCTGTTTACAAATTTTTGGTTGGCATCATAAACTTGGCCATTGTAAAGTAGGTGCAGTTTTCAACTTTGTTGATGTCTATTCTATCAATGTGACTATAGAAGACAAAGTTTCGTTATTGTTTAGTTTTTTTTTTTCACCATTGGTTGCTCATATACTTTCATTTCATTAGTGTATTTTTAAATAGTAAGATCGAAAAAGTGTGGAACTGACTAAATTTTCAAAAGCCATTCAATACCCTTGAAAATTCTGGGATTTCAGACTATGTACTTGCTAATTATAATTGACGTGAAATCTATAACCATATTTAATTTAATTCATACGGGGCGAGCGTTAGTTGACTTAGTATTATGAACCTCCGTAATGGATAAAAGGATAAATAAATTGTGTATATATTTACGTAGTTCTCAGGCCTTTAAAAAGTGTTTTTTTTAATGTAATGCCCTGTATATTATTACATTTTCGTCTATGGAAAAGTCTGAAACTTTATGCATCAAATGTTATAACTTTCTTGGTTTGTTCTGGAGATAAATATTCTTCTAGCAAAATTTTGCAAAAAACATCTCTCACGAAAATTTGTTATGAACTTTCATAATTTTAAATTTAAATTATCGCGTACAGGGTGTTTACAAAATTATGTACATTATGCAGAACAATAAAACGTAAGTTTATGAGCGAAATTTAAAATGAAGGCAGTGCGTTTTAATGTTACATAAAATAATACAAGTATGCCAAATTTTCTACAAATCTCCATAGAAATTTTCAATACAATTAAAATATTTTTTTTACGTTTTAGTATATAACATATGAATATAATATAATATATGCATTGATATAATTTGCTGTTTGAGCTAATAATATATGAAACGAAAGGGTTGTAATGTTGGAAATTTTTAATATTCTCAGTCAGTAAATTGAAAGCAATAATTTACCAGCCTTGTCTTTCATTTCTTATCGCTGCGAAAGTGTTATGTACACCATGTCAGGTAATAAGATATTTCAACCTAATTGATATAAAATATATTAAATGTCGAATTATACATTAAACTCCTTTTTAGCTTCTAATTTTTTTCATAGAGTAAGGTACTTTTCATTTTCGTTGATATTTACAATTTTTTCTCCGCATACCAAAACGTCACAGACAGTATTTCAAAGTTAAACCGATTTATTCATATTTTGTTCGAAAATATGTTCTCCCAATATTGCATTAGTGTTCGACAGTCGAACAATATCTAAATAACTGACTACTTGAAATTTCTCTCTAAAGCTGTTGTTATAATGAAAAAATTTTTGCGCGGGATTTAAAATTTTGTGTTTAACCAAATGCGTCCTTTTCTACAAAAATATCAATTGCGCCTGTCGCGCATTAATTTTTCTCGTAGTACATCTACTATATTTTCTAAAAGCTGTATAAAACCAACCCAAAACAAATTTAGGAATTGTGTCTTTACTAGCAATAGCGAAATAAGACCAACCCAACACCACAGTCTTAATAAAGCTCACGGAAGACCTTATTGTAAACGTAATTTCGGAATGGGATGCTATCACGTGATCGTCTGTGAACCCGAAACCACTCGATCACTTGCGGCGAGGGCCAGTGGCGGTGCTTTTGTGTTTTATATCAATTTTTTTTCGAGCCATATTTGTGCAAGTTGCTTTGATATATAATCAATTACAAAATATTAAAAATCAACCAACAAAGCCCTATAAAATAAAGACGCACAAAGGAGAATGCACAATGAGACATTGACCGGTTGCCTAGGCAACGGCATCTGTCGACCGCAGCCGAATAGTAGCAATCGCCACGTGCTGTCCCATTCTGAAATTACTTGCACTCTACCGCTCCTTATCTGCAAGTAGGAGTGAAGATTAGAAACAAGCTTCCAATTATTTATCCTTGCTTCAGATAGGACATTTAGTTATTGGCAATTTTAAATTGTTTCTCTGCTTCATTTCATTTCATGTAAATATTTCTTAAGACCAATTATTGTAAGTTGATTTGGCAACGGCGCCGAAAATTTTATGGAACTGAAGCAGTTAGAAACACTATGTTTATATCGGACTGTTAATCTGGATTAAAATGGGAGTGACTTTCCATGCGATGTTGAATCCTGGAATAAACAATCAGTATTAAAGCCTTAATCCAGATTGGGCATGACTAAGAATTAGAATTGTGTTTTGTGACATAGATTTAATCTGGATTCAATCGTTATTATTGGATGCATGATCTTAGTGGTGGAGCACAAGTAAGCACAAAAAAGCAGGTACTTCAGTTACATCAAGTAATATTTGAAGGTTATGCTTTTACATGTGATAATGTTTTCAATTTAAAAATAGGGACCGACCATGCCTTGGTTGCTTAGGCGTTTGACCTGCCCAAGGTTGTTGGTTCAATTCCCACCGCCAGCATTGGATGTTGTAAGGTCGAGATGAAAACAGTTTAAAAAAGTATTGAAATTAGTTAGCCGTCTAATAAATAACGCCAGCTTATAGCAACCAGAAAGAAAAAAAATTAAAATTATTAAAAGAAATGGAAGAAATTAACAAATATAAATAATATCGGCAAGTAGCTTTACATATCTGTTGTATGCCTATCGAGTTTTTATAACACAGATTTAGGTGTTAGGTTAAATATGTAAGACAAGAAATGAGTATGAAGGGTTGTTCGTCATTTTTAGAGTAACTCTGCAGCTGATGTAAAGTAAGGTGCAAAACTTGTGATACATCTAAGCGGCGACTTAATCCGAACTTCTGAGGGACACTAAAACACCTTTTAATTTACTGTAGACAAGTTAACAGAGGAACCTGAACCCCAAAATCATACTTTTTCTTTACTATTTTCCATATTAAAGCAAATAAGCAAATACGGCACTCAAAAACAAAACCGCTAAATAACCATAAATTCAATATCAATATTAAATGTCAAGAATAAAATTTCATTTAAACCAAATTTAATCTGGATTAAGCGCTAAATATGAACCCAATAATTGTTGGTATGTTCGCTATTTATTTAATTAAGCTCCTCCTTCAAATAGCAACGCGCCATCTGTTTCACGGCAAGGTAGAAGTTTATTTTATATATTTGCATAAATGTAAGTGAATATTAATTTATGTTTATTAAAATGTACAGGGTGGCCAATCAAGAAAGCCACTCTTGAAAAGAAATTGTCTTTAAGACTTGGGGTGAAAAAATGTATGCTTTTGACCACAGCGACCAAGAGAAAGTTCTGTAAATTATTGTTTAACTTCGAGAATGACCGCCAGGAGGAATAATTCGCATTCTTAAGGTTCGACTGCCCTTAATTGGCCACTCTGTACGAAATGTTTGACATATATTGACATAATAGTAGCACATTTTCGTTATCGAAGAGTAGTTAATTATAATAATTGAATTTAACGAACTCGTCATGTTCCTTGGGACTTGACGTAACTTTAATTTCTATAGTATTATTTTACAGAAACTGCTACTCGCCCTTATACTATATGAGACTATATAAGCCAAAAAGTTATGGAACACTTTACCACACTTTTAACCGAAAAGCTTTTCGAAACAATTATGGCAATAGGGTTTGTCATTTTGTTCCTTGAATGTGCCCTTGTTCAACTGTTTCAAGCAAAAAGCGCAGACGAAGTGCTCGGGGTGGAACTTCCTAAACATGGCAGTAACGCAACGCCCCGATATGGGTTTGTGGCATCCGGCGCACAGAGATCCTCGTTTGAGGTGGTAATGCGTTTCGCAGTATGGCTGACCCTCGTGGTCGAAAAACGACCCTCCTACAAACGGTTGGCGGCAATCCTACAAAAAAATAGCTATAATAATAACGAGAATATTTTTATAAATTTAAAATGGTATCAGGTGTGTAATACAGTGCCAATTCAATACATACAAAATACCGGGCATTGTTCAATAAAAATAATGGCACAGGTAGGGAAACTATTCCTATATCCATAACTTCGTAACAAATTTGCCCTACAACCATTCAAATTAGTTGTTCTTAAATGTCATCCCTTTAACTTTTTTTGTCAGGTAAGTAAAAAATTTGTCATGTAGATGTTTAATGTAAGAAATAAATTGAAATAAAGATGTAATTGAGTGACTGTGTTGGTTTCCTATTCTAGATGTAACAAATTTAAAAGGAGCAGCAATAAGGGACGTTTCTTCAAGGCATTTAGAAAAAAAAACCTAACTAGTCTTTAAACTTCTTTTTTAGATTCAAGTTATGACTAGTGACGTACAGGGTGTTTAAAAAAAATAGCCAATGCTTGATGGAAATAAGCAACAGTATCAAATTTCAAAGACTTGTCAATAAATATTTAAAATATTGAAATAAAGCTGAGCCGTGCCTGGAAGCGAGCTTTTTCATTCACCTTGTATATATTAACTGTGGGAACTCCATTTGTTAAAAAGACCTGCGCAGTAAATAATCATAGAAATCCCTAAATATTAAAACATTACATTCGCAACAAATGCCTAGTTAAAGTATTTTTAGTTTAAAAAAAAGGTACTGCCGTACTCCCTAATTAATGGTGGGTGGCGCGCTTAGAAATATTTGAAATTCAATGATTCAAAAATTCAAATATGAGCCCCTACCCTTAAGAGAAGATGGGTCCAAATATCAGGCCTCCAATAAATTATTCAATATTTATAAAAAATCAGTTTTGAAGGATGTCTAATTACCAATAATTGAGACTTCCTAAAACTATAAGTTATTGAAATAAAAAAAATAAAAAGAAACTTGTTTATACTTCTCGATTTATAAAATAAATTTGACTTTGTTCAAGGTTCACCAAAGTTTCTTGGTAGTTTGTATTTGGACAAAACTCGTAGTTATAAACAACTTTTCCTAATGAAATAAATGTTCTTTACCATATTTTTGATCCACCCTGTATGTCGTTTATCTTAAAGTACTAAGTGCAACCAAAATAGTTACTGGACACGCTCCAGATTTCGGCAGCACTAAATTTTTGCAATTTTGAAAATTCATTCCCATTTGTGGGAAAATTAATGCATTATACTGCGTTGACGAAATCTATACAGGATAGCTCACTATTGCTATAATTTTATGTAAGAATTTTAAGGACAAAAGTAGTTGTATGAAATGTGATAAAATTAGTTGTAAGTATCTCACGGCACCCTACTCGTTATTCTAAATAGTATATTATTATTTTCTGGATTCTTGAGAGAATTTCAACGCAGGTTCTTGAAGGATTCTTAATCCAAAGAACTTCTTAAAAATCTTGGTGAATTTAAAAATTATGAATTATGTAACATTACTTCCAACACGGCCCTTGGACCATTTTTGACTGTAGACATCAACACAATTCAATAATATTTCTCTCAGGATTGTACAGGCCTGGAAAGAATACACCAGTTCTTTTATACAGACATGAAGTGAAAAATCCAAAGGCCCCAAATCGGAAATCGGGATTATCAGTTCCAGAGTTTCTGAACTCTTTTGAAGTAAATAAAATTAAAAATGTCACATTTCGTCAAAAAAGCTGTCAACTTCTTTGAATTACTTTTAATAGAAAATACGAAATAACAAGGAAATTGTGCTCAATTTGAAAAATCTAAGTTTTGTGTCTTAGAAAATGATAAAATTAGGCTGGTAAATTTTGGACACCCTGTAAGTTATAAATCAATTTTCAATGCAAAGTTTCGAAAGGATGATTCCGTTGTTTCAGTTTACCACGAAATTTTCTCAGAATATTCAATTTAAATTACGGAAGTTGGGTACCGCGAGATATTTATGAGCTACCCTATATATGCACGCGGCACATCCATACAAAAAAACTTTTGCATTAACATTTTTTCTATAAAATAAACTTTTTTGGAAGTTATAATACTCCTGCATTGTTGAGCTACCCTGTATAAACGTTCAAGCAGTATAGTGCATTATTTCTGACGCAAATGAAAATGAATTTTATTACTTGCAAATATTTAGTACTGCCAAAAATTGGAGAGCGTCTGATAACTAATTTGACCACACTTAGGAATATTTTAAGTAATATACGGGGTGTATCAAAAATGTTAAACGGTCCAAATTAAAATACATCGTTTAAGAATGTTTTTAAATGCAATGCAATCTTTAAACGAAACACCCTCGGTTACGTCTGCCCGCTATTTACCAAATTAATTAGTACAAATAATTTATCTGTCAAAGCATATTACTTAATAAAATAATCAACTTGCACCTTGAACCAATTTCGGACGGACTCGGCGCTTCAGTAAGGTATTTATTTATAAACCTGTTTACATTTCGGGCAGATTACGCCAACGATTTAGACCACCAAAATTAACACCTGTCCGTTATTTTTAACTTTTGGCAAATGGCGCGCTTTTCGTTTGTCTCCGGATTTTTGTCTTTAACGGTCGAAAGAAACAACTGAATTTGAACCGCGGCGCTTCTTTTGTTTTTTTTTTCGCAAAGCTTCTCTGTTTTTTATCAAGATTTTATTTTACAAATATATATATATTTTCAATAATAAATAGTCTTATGATAACAAGGCATTCTTAAACCGAATAATTACAGATCTGTGGGCGCTAGTAAAGTAAGTGGGGGGGGGGGGGGTGTAACCGCGTTTACTCGTCCTCTTCCTCGTCGGCGCCTATACACTTGGGGCATACCGGTTTCCCTTCCACCGCGTAGAACGATTTCCCCTGCACCGGCAATTTGCAGTCCTAAATAAAAGTTAGAGTAAGTTTTAGTACCGTATCTGACGTCACCCGTCCCGTGGACTCATCGTACGTCACCGATTCCGCGGACCTGTAACAAATACCGAACCTTAAGCGCCCGCGTCCTACGATACCTACCCTGCAGACGAAGCAGTCGGGGTGCCATTGCGCATTGAGGGCGGAAATGTAATTCTCCATGATGGCACGGTTACATGCTCCGCATTTCGGGGCGAACATGTCGAAGTAATCATCGCGACAGTACGGTTTGCCTTCCCGCTCGTGGAAGCCTTCTTCGCCGAACTGCTTGCCGCATTGGGCGCAGAAGAAGTGGTCCATGTGCCACGTCTTCTCCAACGCCGTGACGCATTTCTGAAACGTGCGAATTTAGGTGTGCCGGGTTGTTGTCTAAGTACCGACGTACGTCCAAGATGGGACCGTTGCAATAGGCGCATCTCGGACTGAACAGGTTGTGGTAGTCTGGTTCGCAGTAGGGTTTGCCGTCCCTCTCGAAGAAGTTCCTTGTGCCCAGCTCCTGGGTGCAGTGGGCGCAGGTGAAGTGCTCCGGGTGCCACGTTTTACCCAGTGCGGTGATGACCTGCCCGACGATTGGTTTTTCGCACGCGCTGCAGCATCCTTTCTGACTCGTGTTGACTCCCTGACGGCTCATGTCTGCTTGAAGGTTGCCGAGCATAGACTCCAGGTCCTTCTTCGGCGTGGGTGCGCTCTGCGAGTGGGTTGCCTTGGCGGGACGCGCGTACTGAGAGTCGGTAACCGTGTGGTGCTGTGGTCCTTGGTTTACCTGGAGGCGTGAAAATTAAAAATTGTCCAATGCGAAACTAACCCGACAGGCGGGAATTCTGGAACTGAGTTTTGAGGACGATTCCGCGGCGAGGTAAAGCCGGGATCCTACGCTTCCCTCTCCAAGTGCGAGCGTCGCGACGAAGTCGGAACACGACGGACGCCACGTAGGGAGGGTCGCGTCGGCGACGCGCGTAAGAGAGAGAGGGACGTAAGGTCGCGCGACGGGTCCGCCGCGGATTCCCGAAAATACGCGCGTTATTTGTGGAACGCTTTAGGAGCATTATGTCACGCGTAGAATTTATTTCTCGGTCTTTTATAAAATATTTGCGCGGTTCCGAAAAAAATAGTCGTTTTGCAGAAACGTTATAGAGTGACCCGTTTATTATGGGACGATAACTTAACTAACAAAAACATTAAAGTTTAATTGGACTCACTTATAATTTAAAATTGTTATTTATAAAGGGTGTTTGTATGGACAACTTTCTTATTTTAAATAAAACATTTTGGAAATATGTCGTTGTTTCTGCCGTGTTTTAAATTTTAAGGCAAATGTGATGTTTGCAAGTACAGGATGTCCCAGTAACAGGTCCTGGAATTAAAAAAAAATTCTAAAGTAAATCGGCCAAGACAAAATGCTAGAAATTATTATCGAGTTTCTGAAATTATCATTAGGGAGCGCAATTGTTGAATTTAAAACCCAGATTTCTAAGAAAAATTCTATAGTTAACCATGTTTATCTTAAAGAAATGTCCATTTCTTCAAACCTTTTAATATACTTGGAGTGGTTAAAACGGACTTTTCCTAGGATATCAATTTCGATAATCTTGATATGAATGACTGCTTACCTTGCCAGCATGTAGCGTTTTCTAACAAATACGAAAAAAAAATTAAAATGAAATACATGCAAGTTTTTTTTGTTAAAAAAGGGCTTAACAACCCGGTAAAAATCGCATCTCACTATGTTTATCGTAACCTAAAGATTTGAATTTACCTCTCCAGTTTTCATTCATGATAACAAATACGCCCCCTGTTGGCCATTTTAGAAACTCGAAAATAATTTCCACCATTTGCTTTGGCTTTCCGTTTCCGTAATATCGTACCTTGTCGCCCTTGTTGAGAATTTTATGAATTGCAGTGGCATCTCGAGAATGGATGTTCGCGATCACTATTCTCAATGCATCTCTGTTCCTTGCCGTGTGTATTAACGATTGTACATAGTGTAGTCCTTTTGACAAAAAGGATAAACGCCACTGACTTTTCAACCCAACTAACTGAAGATGCAACTTTTTGGTCTTTTGAATTGAAAACAAAAATATAATCGATTTTTTATTAATATCTTTAATCTTATCTTTAATAACCGTTGTCCAGATTCCTTGGAATGTGGCATTTTTGTTTGTGGCGACTAACTCGATCGATCGATAACTCGATCAAAATTATTATGTCCACTGGGGTTCCGGGCACAACTTTGCGAATTTTTTCAATTAAAAACATTATCTTGAAAACTGCATTTCAGGACTCATGACTATATAAAAATATTTTCTAATGTTTTTTATGTAGAATTAACACCTAAATTACTTTAACGTTATTTCTGGAGATCTTTCGATTTCTTATGTTAGAAAGATGTGAAATATGTCGTATTAATAAAAAAATGCTTGAATGTTCTACTTAAAATAGGATAGTTGCCAAAATTATTTGTACTTGCTCGAATTTAAGACCATTACCTACATGTTTTTCGCAATAAGATTTTGTTCCAGCCCATGAAAATATCCTATTGTGTTAAACTGGTAACGATATGGCGGCATTGGTGGATCCCATATAGGTCCAATAGGTACCAATGCCAATAATACAGGAACTTATCAAGCAACTATGATTTTTTTTTGAGAAGGTCCATTCAACATGCGCATGCGCGAAATTTAAAATCTCGTTTTTAGCCAATGACCTTGCGGCATTCAACAACGAAGATGGCCACTGACAGATCGTCAATACTTTTTAGGACAGCATCTTCTCAAAATATGCCTAGTTCGCGTTAAATGTTCTGGGAAAACTAATGCGTGTGGAAATCGCTGTCTATAAAGGTATAGTTAAAATAAATTTACTTAAAACTGTAAAAACATATCAAAATAGTTCGCTTTTTTTTTTCAAAAATACCAGGAAATTCAAACTGTTTAGTCATCATTTGTTGTGTGTTTATCATACTCAATAAAAATCACAAAGTTACAATAGAACACTAAAAGTAGTTACAATAAGTTAAAGATTCATTAGAGCCATAATAACAAAAATGGACGGTAGTTACTAAGTATTAATAGTACCTAATTCTTCTAAAATTTTGAATATGTTACCTATTAGATTAGGCACTCAAATTTTTGCGAATTAGCTACAATTATGCCTTCCGCAAAGCAGTAGATAATTTGAATTAGTTTTCTAACCTCTGCTTTAACTTTTATTTTCATTATTTGGAATACGAAAATTTTGGCAACATTCATAAAAATTAAACTTAATTAATTAATGAAACTCGACTTTCATCTGTCTACGCTAGCAATTTGGTTTACCTTTATGTTAGATAAGCTGGCCATGAGGTCATCTAACTCTCTGGTTGCTGAAGACGCCGCTTGGGGGACCTGAGTTGCGGTCACGTGGGAGGAAATCAGCTCCGTGTCTCCTGGAAAGCCCGTTTCAGTTTTCGTTTCTTTCACCGTAATCACAACCTTTTTGGGACCTGTATATATGACCTCCCTGTAACAAAGCAATCACTCGTTGCAAACAACGTGATTTTATTTATTAATATATTGAGCAATATTAGTAGGTATATACTGGATGAGTCCAAAATATGGACAGATGACAGATTATTTGAATCAAAATATAGGGACTTTCACTGTGCCATGTTTCTTTTTCGCGCCTGGTTTCTAAAATATAGGGCGTCGAACTTTATTTTAGAAAATTAACATGTTTACAAATTTTCTCGATGTACGCATACTTATACATATGCATACCTTTCATACAACGAAAAATCCGAGAATCTATGGAAATCTATAAGCAACCAAACAATCTTCACTGCGATCAATATGGGACAATGTTCATGTAGCTCCGCCACCCTCAAACAGTACATAAGCAGGTACAGAGTAGAAAGTCAGCAAGTTCGATTCAACAACAACCAATGCAGAACGAATCCAGAAGTTTTGTAAATAGATTACATTATTATTTTAGATACCAATACCATCAAACATCAATTAACAATTTATGCCGTAACGATGGACTTTTTTTGTTTTCTGCAGTTTGAATTGAGCCGAGATACAGGGAGAAATAGACATTTTTCGCTTACCCCTTTTTTAACTCTAAAATGATATATCACACTATACACTTCTGACGTAAATGAACCCTTAAAACAGCGATATTATAGAAAATCGTAGAATTATAGGCGCTTAGTGTTCCAGAAGCAAAATAAAAAATACTTAGCACTGCTCCTAAATGGATTTTGCCATGGAAACAAATAGCAAAAATATATATACAACATCTTTTAAAAGATATTATATTGTAGATATACAAAAAAGCAGCAGCCAAACAAGGCCATTTTTCATCGAATTAAATTAAATTTTATTAATAATGGTTCACTTTCAAACCAAAGGCCTAAAACGTATAATAAACAAAATAACGAATACAATGAGATGTATTAGCAACTGCTGAATATAATTACCCAAATTTATGTCGGAATATTGTGGAAACTGTGTCAAAATTGCATACGCAAAGGATGTTAAGAAAATATAAATATAGACCTTATGAATTCAATAACAAAAACAAAACAAAATAACAACAACAAAAAAGCACAAATTATAAGCCCATTTCTATTTGAAAATGTCGACGATTGCTGGATTGGTACAAATGGTAATGGTACCAGTAAGCGGGCCGCCAGCTAATAGACTGTACACAAATGTATCGATAAATTAAAAGAGAAAAAAAGGCAAATTTTCTGGGATCACAAAATATTCCATTTAAAAAATACGATATTTAGATTATATCTCGAAGACGTATTTACTGGGTGTCCGAAACGAAATAACAATATCAGCAAAATTTCACCCAATATCTCGGCAACGAAACAAGATTCAAAGTTTCACGAGAAAATGACACACGGAAAATCGCGCATTTAGGACACAGTGCACAATAACTAATAAATTAAAACATAAAAATTTACACGAAAAGTGTTAAATAACAGGACAATTCTACATAACAAGATTCAAGTACGAGATTTACAAATAAAAATGTTACTTTTTAACTAAAGTTTAATATCCTGTATTTTAGAGACCGAGTGCGTAAATAAAACATGCGACGAAAGTCTAAATATTTATACACACAGATTCTCTTCCACTCACCCTGTATGGTATGCTGGTCTTCGGAATTACAAACAATTTGGATTCTTACCTGACTTGTTACCGGGCACAATAAGTTGCTATAGCATATATGCAGGAGGTGCGATTTTTAAGGACCACTTGCAATAAACCGAATACGTTGCAAAAATAAATATTTTTTATGAGAACAGGTAGACATATTATATTATAAATTTAGTTTGTTTGCTCTAATATAAATCATTTTAGTTAAGTTCTTAAACATTACCTGTCAGAATTGACATTTTTTTATAAAAAAATAAAATAAAAAGTTGGGTCATTTTTGAAAATACCGAAAAACGTTAATTTGAAAAAACTGTTTCTCTCGCAGTTTTCTATAAACCTGTTTTTTTTTTTAATCGTACAATCTTGATTATTTTCGTATTTTCCCATCCTAAGTTAAAAACATAGGAATCACACTGCTTATAGACTACTCTGTATAAGAAAATAAATTCATCTTAAACACTCGATTTAAAACAAACGCATATATGATGCAATGCAAATTCATAAAAATCGTCAAAGTTGATGCAAACATTTTATAACCAAATAAAGTTTAGTTACCTGTTTAAATAGTAATAAAATTAAGTAAACTTTATTTGATTTTAAAATGTGAAATTATTATTATTATCTAGACTTTGTATGTTTTTTTTTTAATTTATTATTTTGGTTTATTTAATGTTTAGAAGCTTCGACTTCGCACTTCATATTTCTTTAAAAGTTTGTCCTATTTTGATTTTTATTAGATTTTTGCCTAGCGAATATGTTTTGAAAGATACTAAAGAATAACTAATTTAGGTTGATAAGTAGCTTGATTTCTATTTTCTTAAATTAGAATGTATCAAAAAAAAAGTTTGGTTAGTTGCCCGATTTTTTTTATATTTCAAAAAATAATCCAATTTCTTAATATATTTTATGAAAAACGTTATCTTTGGCAGGAACAGGAAAATGTTTAAAAACTTTCGTAAATTGGTTTCCTTTTTATTTTTGATGCATAGTTTGACGATGAAAATTTACCAAAACTCATTAATAGAAATTGTTCTCATATGATGCGAGCATTACTGGTGACACCTTACATTATTCTGTAAACTTTGATATGAATGAGGAAAAGAACAGGATCCAAAATCGACTCCTGCGGAACGAGTTATTTCAAAAAGACAGACAGGTGTGGACAGATTTTTTTAAAGGGGCATTCGCCCTTCTATAGGAGATAAAGGAAAACTAGTATCGGTGTCTGGAGCTTTCATGAAACACATGAAAGGTGAAAATTGCAAATTGATATCTAGTACTGTTAGAGTTATTTTTAAAAACAGTGTATCTTTAAAAAATCGCTGAAACTTCTTTGTTACGGGACATTTTGTGTTTTTATGAAAAATTTTTTCAACTCAACTGCATTTAACGGCTTGAGTATAATATTTCTCTACTCCCTTCTGTAAAATATATAATTAAAAACCGATCTAGAGTGCGGAAAATGTCATTTTACCACTTCAGTTTCATTTCCCATGGATCCGAGCCACCTCGCACATTTCCGGGATATTACAGCACGGGTTTGGGAGCAATCGTTTATTAAACACCCGCTCCGCTGGGCTCAGCTCGTGTCAAATAAACTCAATGCAATGCAAATGCCGTTTACCTCACTTGTTGCATAATATACTATTTTAGAACTAATAGTTTTATTAGCAACCGACAAAATGATTTTTTAATATCGGACATCCTGTAAATCATTGAGAAGAACTTGAAATTACCTTCCAAAAAATATAGAATTAAAAAAAAATATTTCAAAGAGCTGCCATTGGGAGGAGAGTGCAGTTAACTGGCATTCCAAGGTCGTTCTTGGGTCGACTCCTTGATACCGATTCAGTAGAAAGGAAGGAACGATGTGCACAATGAAAGTCTTTAGGAACGGTGATGCAGAGTGAATTCGCAGGGAAGTGTATGCGATATATGAGAGTGATCAGAGTCCGCCACTTAAATCATTGCACCAGAACATAGTCGACTTACTGGCAGTCGTGAAAAATTGCGCCCGTTTCTGCACAAAATCGGAGTTAGATTTAAAAATATCGATAAGTGTAATTGCATTTAAGAGGCCCAACGATTGGTAGAATGGAGACAAAAATATTTAACTCAAATTCATCAGTTTCTTTCAGGAAAGCGAAATATATATTATTTAGATGAGACTTGGCTGGCCGAAGGTGATAAAATAGAAGAAGAAGACTGTCCATTTTTCCCAAGGACTCGAGGGCAGGTGATAAAAAAATATCGATAATGTACCCCTTACATTACCATCGTATCACTGCGATTGGAATCCCACACAAATGATATTGGGCGAATTAAAAAACAAAACTAAATGTGTTAATCATTGATTTCGACTGGAAAATAATTATCAAAAACCTTGGGACAACGTAAAACCATTAATTATATCCTTGGATGATGGCGGTGTTTCAACCGCAGTCAGAAACCGGCTTAGAACTCTAAATTTCTGTCAGTAAACTGATTTTTGTCAGGCATCTTATCAGAAAACTAGTTGAGTTACAGGACTTTACAGTTCCAAACCGGTTTCTGACTGCGGTTGGAACAGAGCTGAGCACAGATCCAAACTATTTTGACGACTAATATTAAAATTATACAGTACTAACATTTTGTTTTAATTTCCTTGCTACTACCCAGGACCCGTTTGACTTATTGGCCCAAAAATGCCTACAAGCAGATAAAACAGCATGAGGAAAAGGAGAGGATCCAAAATCGACTCCTGCGGAACGAGTTATTTCAGGAATGAATATTATTTTAAAAAAGACGTATTATTGTATGTACAGGTGTGGACCGATTTTTTTTAAAGGGACATTCCCCTTTCTATAGCAAGCACTAATAGCATTATTACAATCCTGACTATTTATCGTGAATTGTACAATACGTAGAGTTTGAATTTAGTCTTTTAAATGATTGGGTTAGAAAAGAATACAGAGACAGCAACCACGAATATCCTAACCTTTCTTTCGGAAGATTTCGATACAGCTAAGTCATTTTAAGAAACGGCCAAAAAGACTATACACTCAACTCCCCATGACTTACAAAACATAGTGGTTTTAGGAGCCGTTAAAAATAATGAAAGTTAAAAACCCCAACCAGACTAGCAAGAACTAACATTAGAGTACTAGAAAAGTGCATGGTGCACATGTGGTTTATCTATTCCGTTCTATAAGCGGTTCTCGCTACTCATCTTGTTTTGGACGCGGCTAAGTGGTATCGTATAGCAAACGGAATATCCTTTATGGTTTTGATTAGTTTGGGTTGTTGGTGTTGGTGTCATAATGTTATGAATTTCCTACACGATTACAACTACTAGGTAGCTGGGTGGCTGGATAAAGTATCCTTCCTATTAGAGATTGGCAACAAGTTGTCATGACCGTTTAGGAAACGGAAAAATGCTTCCGGTGGTGGCACTCTCCGAAGTCTACTTGTTCAAAGTTCAAAACGTCTACTTTGGCCAAGAAAGCGTGAACAAAGTACTAAAATTGCTATATTTTTGGAAAGGTAACTTTAAATTATTTTCAATTATCGAAAAATACAGAGTATCACCTATAAAAAAATCGGATTAAATGTTAATTTTTCAAAAAATGCACATTTTCGCAAAACATGCTATAACGCATTATCTTTTTAATAAAGATTGAGCTCCAGACACTTACATTATTTAATATATTTAGTTTCTTGAAAATGGCGAAAATTTTAAAATTTCTTTTTAAATCTTTGTCGAAATCCTTTGATATATCACATGAGAGAAGTACATACCGTCCATCCCCCGGTTTCTGTAATATATCTACGCTATCTATCGCTTTTTTATTACACCACTGCCATCTGTGTATTATATTGCATGCTGCTCCACTTACCCGGAATTTAGTTCATCCAATAAACTGTCAACCGAAGGTCGGTTCAGCGTTCCTTGGGCACTCGAAGGTCTCGAATAGTTGGCTGGGCTTCGCCCACCCGACCCATTGTAGCTGCCGTCGAAATGAACCGCGGAAGCGGCAGTCCCATTGGTTTCTGAAAAAAGAAGAATAATGACGAGCATGGTAACTAGACCATTCAAAGTGATTTTAATAATATAACTTCCAATATTTTACCTCGATCACATTACTGTACAACTCAAGAAAGAAATAGAATAGCATTTTAGTGTGCTAGTGTTTTATAAATGGGTGACTGAGGAAGAAGCAGCGCGTATAGTGTACAGGGTTTTCTTGTATATTTTTAGACCCCACCAGCAGAGAGACACAAAAAAGTGTGAATACGAAAGTTCCATGATTTTTATTGAAGCTGAACAAGAGAAAGATTATAAAAGGAAAAAAAATACATTTAAACTACATAGTCACACACAATTTCACAGAATTATTCATACAATACCATATCTTAAATTAAACGATAGGTAAAAAACAAAAACTGAAGATTTGACCATTTTCAAATGTACAGCACCATGGCAATGGAATATTTAAATCTTCTTCATTATTTATTTGCAATATTATTGCTATATGCTAAATAATTTATTATATTTATGAATGTAAAAGGAAAATGTTATTAATAGCTTAGTCGCTTCGACTGCTCTTGTCATGGCTATATGATTTAAGGCGTAAACAACATTTTAAAGAAACTTTGAACCGTCATATTTCCAAAACTAATAGATAAAATGTGAACAATCAATATTTGAAATTAGAAAAAAAGAGACTCGAAAGAATATAAAAGAATATACTGAGTGTTCCATAAAAAATATCTGTCAAAATTTAACATTTGAAAATTGATTGAATTTGGTTTAGTAACACACTACTCGAATTATAACCAATCATAATTCAACATTCTGTACATTTAGATATTTCTCATTCCCGATCTTGACAACCAAGTTGTTTCAAATAAGAAACTATCCTAAAATTTAGTCGAATTAGTAGTTCGCGTGGAAGACAAAATTAATAAAAAAAATAGTGCAACTACTCTCGTTCACTTTCTAAAATAGCAATAGGAAACCATTTTTAATTTTTTAAAATAACAATCTAAATTCCCATTTCCATTCAGGTCTTTGATTTCTTTTTTTATTCCAATTTGGAACACTCTGTACCTCCGAAACGAAGCAATTTGGTCAATATGATTATCTGGATATTTTTCATAAAATAATAATTGTCCCCCTTGTAATTAACAATTAATGCAGTGATAAAGTAACATTTAGTGACTATATCATCCAAAAGAAACCTGTTAAATTATGAATTGGTAAATTGTTTGACCAACTTCAACATGCGTACCAAAAGAAAGCAATTCCCAAAACCATGCTAAATTATGACAGATAGGTGTAGGATTCGTTTGCATTGAATGGAAAAATTAAAATTTGCTGTTGGAACGGCCTTAAATAAAAAAATGGAAAGAAATTGAGATACAATGAAATTTCTTTATTTCTAGCCTATATTTGAGACACCGAGTATAGCGCTGAATAACTGTATTAACTTAAGCAGTTAAATCGTAGTTTAAGTAATACCTGCCAATTCATATATTTAATTAAATTATTATTTATTATTTAATTATTAATTAAATATTAAGTTAAGGCATACTATAATGAATATAAAATGTGTTAAGAATTAACGGCGTGAAGAAATACATACAGAGAGTTACCAAAAAATGCCAAAAAACGTTCGCCTGGATATCCGTCATCCAAAAAAAAAAAAGAAAAAAAATGTGCGATTTTGTTAAAACATTATTTAAAATGATAAAAGGCTAATTCTGCTCTAACTAGACTAAAATTGTGAAGTTCCATCATTCCATCCATTGTGAAGTATATTCACGAATATTATCGTCAAAGAGATATGTAGGCCACTGACCTTCTTGCAGTTTTTGCTAATTATTTTGAAGAAGCCGCTAAAAGTATATTTTTTACTCTTGATTTGTTTTCGCATCTTGCCTTGCTTTCAAGCAAAAAAAAAAAAAAGAAAATAAAGAAAATTGCCAAAATCTATTTTTAAGAATTAATTTTTGGATCCTGTCCATAATAAACTTAGTTCTACGAAGTTAAAACCAAAAAAATGATAAAAATGATCTTCCTTTCAGCTTCCTTGCAGGAATGCTAAGCAAAGCCTATGATGCAAGGATTTTGGCATAAGCCGATTTTCTTTAAAGACTATTTCCATTTTAATATTAACTTTTTTATATTGGAAACTAACCATTTGCAGACCTACGTTTATATGAACTTTTTTCTTTTCTTTTTTGGTTGAATCTCTAGGCGACCGCGTGGGGCCACATGTTTTGAAACAACCTGTATCCGCAAGAAAAATATAATTTTACTTTCTTACAGAAGAAAATAATTTTAGGTTATGCGTCTCATGCATCTGAAAGGCAGACAGTGTTATCCGATTTTCCCATGCAGGAAACTATTCCATTAAGTTTGAAGAGAAAAAATAAGTACTTTTCAAAAAAAGGTGCCTTTGAATTCCTAAATATTTGTCGAACACTGGGTTAATGTTAATGAAAAACAAAACTTACCAGGCATATTCGCGTATCGACTATTACTGAGGTCTTCTAGTAGATTATCCAATTCCGAAAGGTTATTGTTAAAATGTCGTTTTTCTACGTGGTTAGGCCCGCCACTTTGGTTACTTCGCGTACCCGATAACGGCTGCGTTTTGCCATAGGTACTCTGCAAAGAAGAAAATAATACTAAACGTAAGTTCACACCATTCACAGTGGCAGCGCTACATTTTGGCTACAATTCGTATTATACTCGTTATTGTTTATAACTACTTTATAGGTACACTTTTTACGACTCACCCACCAGCATTGTGATTAATCCATAAAAATTAATAAATTTTAGTTACTCATTAAGAACTACCTGAATTTTTTAGGCGATGCTACTTTACATCTCACAATAAAATTCTACGTTCATGGAATGTTTTAGGTGGGCAAGATTACCTCATGAACCGCCATATTTGGCGAGCATTATTATGTTCGTCCGGAATGCGTATTAAGATTTTGATTGTTTATCTACGGTATGGGTTGGCGGCACCAAGGAGCCTTGTTGGTAAAAGAAAAAGTTACAGTCGAAAAGTGACCACGATTTATTTTATAAGAAATCCTTTATAGCTATTTTTTCGGGGGTTTAGGTCGCAAAAGTTTTCCTGTTTAGAGATTGTTGTCGATACACCGAATATTTTAATCAATTTGAAACTTTGTTGTTGCAAGTTGTATATGGATGCAGCCGAAATTAATCTTTGGACAAGTGCGTACTAGTAGTTGTCAAATTGTCAAAAGAAGAAGATTAAAAAAAGATTGAGTTTGGTGCAGCTTATGCAGTCCTTAATATAAGCATATTTGACAGAAAGCGGGTTTTACCGCTATAGCTATTTCAGAAACTCGGAAAAAATGGAGCATTTTCTCTTGGGCCATTTCCCATTTCCCTAATGCCGTGCTTTGTCGCCCCTACTGGGATATCCGGTATTAAAAGTAACCTGAGATATGGCAGTGTCAAAAAAACATATTGTCAGAACATAGAGCGTCCATAAAAACAAAGCAAACTTTATGTAATCAAATAAAAACTAGCTTTTAGACTGTCAATTGATTTCAATTTAAGAGTGTGTGGGAGTGGAGACCACCTTCATGCGACTTTGATGGTTAATCAGTTCGAAGCATTCGGTAAACGATAACGATTGAAATAAACTTGAAATGGCTGCTGACACCGGTATAGGTTTTTCGGAAGAAAAATTTCTTAATATAGCAAAAATATATTTCCAAACACAATTTAAATAAATCACACTGCATATACGGGTAATGTCTGTTCATAGATATAAGAAAAAGGATTATCCAAGGGTGGTCATTAACATATAATACAACAAGATTATTACCTAAAGTTTCGGAATTTAAATTCAGGTAAAATTGTGGTCCGTAATAGAAAATAATTTTATACCCACCTGTGTTTAATATTCTTTGGTTTGGTATACTACTTAGTTTAAGTTTATTAGTAATCATTCTTATTTCGTGTGTAATACAGCGTGTGTTGAATCGTGTGCGAATTATGCAAAATATGTGCGAGTCCAGTGTATCTCAGGAGATGCTCCCGCCCAAATGTAGAAAACACTATTCTATTGAACGTGGTGCCAGCAAGCAATCATATTTAGAAGAAACGACCACATTGACGAAAATTCAAACATCAACTGTATGGAAAATTGTGAATAATTCCATTTCAGCCAGGAAAAAAAGAAGCGATGCTGACATTTTCACGAGTGTAGATGAAAGTGATCAATATATAATACGGTGTAAAATTTACCAGTTATACAAGGAACAAAGCGTGCCTACATTAGATATCTTGATTAGGAGGCTTGAAAGAGATGAAACTGGTGTTAAATGTGGCAGAACTACCTTATGGAAGTGTATTCATATTCAACACATGGGTTATAGACTTAAAAAAATTGACAAAAGGCAAGTTTTAATGGAATCTTTTAGAATTAGGAGATGGCGACTGGAATATCTAGAAAAAATTAGGATTTACAGAGAACAACAAAGGCCAATTATTTACTTGGATGAAATCTGGTTCGACACTTATGATACCCCGGAAAAGGGTCGGATTGGCTCAACTGATAAGTGTAAAACAAACGCGCTATCAAAAAGAGGTAAAAGAATAACTATTTTGCATGCTGGCTCTAAAGATGGTTGGATTCCAAATGGACTTTCTCTGTCTGCGAAAAATATTAAAGATTCTTCTCTAGATTACCATGAAGATACCACCGCTGATTTATTTGAAAGTTGGTTTAAAAACAAACTAGTTCCAAACATTAGACAGTTGACTGAAACCCCTTCTTCGAGTGACACAAAAGCAACAATCCAGAACTACATGTTAATAACAACATTTATTTTCACGAAGATTATACCAAAAAGCAATTAATTGAGGTTTTACAAAGCTTGAACCTACAAAAGGAATACGTCTGTGATAATTATGCAAAAAATCTAGGGTATACAGTTTTAAGGCTTCCACCTTACCACTGTATAATTAATCCCATTGAACATGTTTGGCACCAACTGAAATCTGCCATTCGTCGTAACAATGTTTTCCGCCGTATTAACTCCAATGTCCTCAAACTTATAGAAACCGAAGTTTTTAACATCTCTCCACAAAGTTGGGCAAATTCTGTTAAACATATAGAAAAAGCAGAACAATCGTATATCCATATTGCAAATGATATAGAACAAATAATAATTAGAACAGGCGATGATAGCGATAGTGATACTGATATATTATGTGAATAATTTGAAGTAATTTAAGTAGGTAATAAAAATTATTTGTAGTTTTATTTTAGATTTAAACATAAATACATACATAAATAAATAAATATTGTTTAGTATCTTTCCTAAATAATTAAATTCTAAGCAAAGTACGGATCTGTTCGGCCATATTTCATTCTTACAGCTTGCCCGGGTCGTTCCTTAATTCGTATCAGTTAGTCACTTTCTTATATCAATGAACAGACTTTACCCCAATAGTGCGTCAGTGGTTGTTAACTATGTTTTTTAAGATTGCAAATTTAAAAAATATATAAAAATCCGAAAGAATTCAACATATTGATGAGAGCTCTATAAGATAATGTTACGTTATGTATCTGTATATGAAGTTAGAAAATATAAAATTTCTCTTGTGACAACTTCTGAAACTGGTGAGTTTTGAAATATTATAATCAGCCCACTTGTGAAGTAACTTCCCTTAAGCTATTAGAATACTTATTCAAATTTTAATGAACAATGTAAATAATTATTCATTACATATGAAATAAGGACAGTTCCATGTATATTTAATTTTCAAACTTCTGTTGATGTTCGTACGCTCCAAGACTGCCCAAGGAAATCGGATTCACGTAGGTATGACACCTGGAGAGCAAATAATCTCGCCCTTCCGAGATACAGGTTAAAAAATCGAAAAAAACTCTCCTCACATAAAACTTTATACCAATCTTTTAAACTTTTAAGAGAGGAACGTTTTAACCATAAAATTAAACGTTTTCTTTTAAGCACAGCGTAAGTGATTTTTTTGAAGAAAGCATCGGTCATGACTTGTGGCGGGGCTCTGTACATTGATTGTAAACGTTTGTTCGGTGCTATATGCATATAAATCGATATTTTGATTTTTTTGTTCTGTTAGGTTAGGCGATATTATCAACAATTTATGTAATAACTTTTTTTCTGTATGACTTGTTACAAACAATGATATTTTATCTATCTGCCTGGACTTTCACACGAATCCCTATTTTATCAAAACTTTCTCTTAACATTCTCAAAAACGGTTTAAACCCTTTTAAATCATATCTAAAAAAAGGTTTTAACCTCCCTTTATTTTTATTTCCTAGCCAACACCTGGTTCACCACCTTCTTTTAATGTTAGGTAGCAAAATATCAATTTAATAACAATTTCAATTAAATAAGGACCTATTATGAACAAATGCTGTTCAAACGCGATAAAAACAGTTAAACTAACCTAAAAATACTATGACATTTTGTGAAGTCAAATTGACGCCGTTCCCAGTGTAAATATTCCGTAAAACGCTTCATGAAGAAGTTCATGATTTTATTGTCAGTATTTAGTATTAATATTAATTTTTTTTAAATTTTTCTCGATTTTTCATATGAATAACACAAACGTTATTTATAATTCGCCAGTGTTTTCTATTGCGAATAAATCAAATTCTAGGTCACGAACAAATACAGCTCTATAGTAAGTAGGCAGGTGCAGTTGTTAATTTATATCATATTTATCTATAATCTTCTATATTTGTATGCCGGCCAATTTAATTTGTTTAATAAAGGTTAATTTATGACGATAATTAATATGTCCATCGTATGCAAACACATGCGTTTGGTCACAGAGTTTAATTTTGCAAATTGCATCCAAATTTATTTGCGTATAAGACGAAAATTCTAAACATTGCGATTGCCAAAAACTGGGAAGTGCCGACAGGTTTCCTTGCAGTAATTTATACACTCGATATATTTTAAAGCTATTTATGATCAAATCGTGTATAACAAAGTAATGGATTTACAAAAATGTGCTTTTAATTCGGAAATTTTACCATTTCAGACACTAAAGTCGAGATCTGGGTAACGGTAGGTCCTAGAGGACCGCCATTGGTACAGAAATGATCAGCGTCGAAAAAAATTTTTTTTTGTCTGTCCGTCCTCCGTTCCCTGTTCCAGGGTTTTTTCAACGATAACTTCCGAACGGTTTGAGCTATACCCTTCAAATTCTGCTCCTTTTTAACCGTCCACGGGGTGCATAAGATATGTAAAAATGGTTGCGTTCAAGCCTCGGCGTCCATCTCTTTGTTCTTTTTTCGATTTTCGACTTTTTCTGGAGGTTACTATGAAACACGATAAGTGTCCGAAATTTGAAGCTGTAGATTTCAAAATTTTCAGGCATATAACGTTTGGTCCCCTAACGGAAGTTATTCAAATTAGGGCGGGTTGGGCGGTCGGGAAGTAATTTAAAAAAATTAAAAATCGCGCTTGGAAGGGTCTAACGAAAAATTCATTTCTCGAAAACCGTTTATTCAAACCGAAAAAATTTTGAACGAAAAGACGCACAAGATTCGGCTCCAATAATTGTTGATAATTTTTTAAGAATGTACAAGGTGTGCCGCATTTTCAAAAAAAACTGAAAAA